CCGCAGACGTGATACATGTTAACGAGCAGAAACACAGCAAAGCCCCAGAAGAGCGAGGAATTGACAGTGCAGCTCAACATTGACACGGTGGTGGCCGGGGAGCCCCACCGCTGTCCTGAAGCCCCCCGGAGGTTCGCAGACGGCCTCCGGAGCGCTCCCGTGAGGTTCCCGGAGAGCATCCAGCAGCTCCTTGTAAGATCGTTGACAAACTATACGCCGCGGACTCCCGGAAGGCCTCCAGCAGCTCCCTCCAAGCCGCCCAGAAGCACCAGAGGATTGGACATAACCGCGCCCCGCACTTCTTGGGGCATTCTCGTGCTGGAGGGGGTGCGTAAAAGAGCTGTCCGATGCAGCTGCGGACGCCAAGGAACGCTGTTTCTGAGACCCCTCCCGCGCCGAGCGTGTCTCCGCGGTGTGAAGCATGGTTTTCGTTCAAGTCATCTTGGGCCACGGCCTGCTCCTCCCCGCCGTCGCTCTCTTCCGGCACGGGCGCCCCAGCCCGCGGAGTCGAAGCCGAACGAGATCCCGGAATGGGAAGTGGAGGACGAGGGGGAGGGGGAGGTCGCGGAGGGCGAGGAGGAAGAGCATCACGAACCGAAGGACGAGGACGGGCCAATCGCGAGAAGGGGGAGGCGGAGGACGAGAACGAGCAAAGCACGAGGAGGTACGAGGAGGACGTGGAGGAGGAGGAGGAGGAGGAGGAGGAGGAGGAGGAGGAGGAGGACGAGGAGGTGGAGCTGCTGCTGTTGCTAGTGCCCAATCCCCTGGGTCTGCTACCGCATACTGCTAGCGCTGTTCCGGACGCCCTCCGCATCGCCAAGCCACCAGCACACTTTGAAGCAACGATCAGCAGCAAAGGCATTCTGACCACTGGCACTCGGGGACGGTAGTTTACGGGTCAGCCCTGGTCAGCTACAGCACTGGGATCAGCGCGTGCGAAAAAAGCGAGCAGTGGCAGCGGACTCTGGCGCTGCTCAGTGGGATGCGGGAGGCGAAGCTGGAGCCTAACGTCGTCTTGCCTACATCGCAGGCATGCCTGTGTGCGAAAAGGGCCTGAGGACCGAGTGGGTCCCCGCACCCCCTGGGACGGCCTGAGAGTCCTTGAGGCGCTTCACGACGGCTCCTGAATGTCCCAGGTAGCCCCAAGACAGCTTCAGACAGCTTCAGGAGAGCTCCGGGACGTTCAAGCGAGCGCCAAGACAGCTCCAGAGGGCCCGAAGGGAGTCCAAAGACGGTTCAAGAAGGCCTGAAGGCGGCCCAGGAGTTTTTCAACACGCACCAGGAGTCCCAACAACGGCCCGATGAGGAACATCGCGGATTTTTCTGTTGGTTTCTGAAGATGTTCATGGTCACGCCATTTTGGGGCACGAACGGTCCCAGACGGTACCAGGAGCTTTTCATCAGATCGCCCCAAGACGGCCCAAGAGGCCCCGAAGACGCCCAGACATGCCCGGTGACGCTTCCCCAGGCGGCACAATGTGCCTTCACGTCGTCCTGCTCCTCTTGCCCTGTTCCCTTCCCGAAGCGGCGGGGGGTGACACAGAGATTCAGGAGGGGAACAAAAACACACAGACACAATTAATCGTCCACTCCCAGGAAAATATGGGAAGGAGGGGTGGGAGACAAAAACCTTGAACATATGGGAGAACATGGGGAATCCTTCTATTAGTGTGTATTTATTTGTGTGTCCCAGGGCCCCTTCAGAGATGCTCGGGGGCTCTTCTGGTGTGCGGGGGGGGACGAAGGGCGGGCCGAGGGATCTCGCGTCGGCCGCTGGAACGGCTGCCGGCCGGGCATGGATGACCTGTTTCCTGGTATCGCTCGGACGTGCGCACTGTTCCTCGGCGGGGGGATGATTCAGGAGCATCCTGGGTCGTCCTGCGAAAAAAGCCGCGCACGACACCGACGAACACACAGGGAATGGACGTCCGAGCGATGGCAAGAGGAGGAGGAGGAGGAGGAGCAGGAGGAGGAGGAGGAGGAGGAGGAGGAGGAGGAGAAGCCACGCACGAAACCGAAGCAAACAAGGGGAATGGACGCCCGAGCGATGGCCAGGCTTCCACTGGAGGGACCCAGGTTCACCCAGACCGGCCTGGTGCCCACGCCTGCCTGTTCCTCGGGGAAGCTCCCGAGGAGAGGGCCGGCGTGGTCTTGGCCGTATTGCTCCTCTTGGCGGCGCGCAAAGGGGGGGTAGGGGGAAGGCTTCCTAGAAGGAGGCTGCTTCTTAGAAGGCGCTGGCCTCACATTTGTGGACAAGGCCCGCGCCTTCTGAGAAGCAGGGGTGCTTCTAAGAAGCCTTCCCCCCTCCCCCTACCCCCCCTCTGCGCGCCGCCAATCATCGTGGTCGTCGGGGTCGCCGTCGTCGTCCGAGCCCGCGTCGGGCCTCTTGGGGGAGGAGGCGGGGCCCTTTCTGCCGCAAGAGGCTCCCAGGAGGTGCCCGGAGAGGGCCGAGAGCGGGAGAGCCGTCGCCCAGAGGCGCGCGGTGATGCTTGTGGTAAGTCGGTCCTGTCCCTCTACAGGCGATTCGGACATGACCCCCAACGGCTCCACCACCACCACCACCACCTCCTCCCTATCCTCCTCCTCCTCCTCCTCCTCCTCCTCCTCCTCCTCCTCCTGATGCTCGTGTTAAGCCGGGCCTGTCCCCTCTACAGGAGGAATGTTCGAAACTAGCGAAAACACAGTATGGGGACGATTTGCAGACTATTTCTGACCATGTTGGAATACTTCTAGGGGGACATGCCCGACCTAATGCTTGTGGCGTGCGGAGGAGACGCGGGGCGGGCCGACGGCTGGCGCGTCCGAAAGAAGACCGTGCCGCCCGAGGAGAAGCCAGGGGGCATGTCTGGGAGACCTCTTCTGCCCCTCCCGGCGGAAGGTCGACTCCTCGTCCTCCTCCTCCTCTTCCTCCTCCTCCTCCTCCTCCTCCTCCTCTCCTCCTCCTCCTCCTCCTCCTCCTCCTCCTCCCTCCTCCTCCTCCCCCCTCCCCCCCCCTCCTCCTCCCCCCCTCCTCCTCCTCCTCCTCCTCCTCCTCCTCCTCCTCCTCCTCCTCTCCCCTCCTCCTCCTCCCTCCCTCCTCCTCCTCCTCCTCCTCCTCCTCCTCCTCCTCCTCCTCCCTCCTCCTCCTCTCCTCCTCCTCCTCCTCCTCCTCCTCCTCCTCCTCCTCCTCCTCCTCCTCCTCCCCCTCCTCTTCCTCCTTCTCCTCCTCCTCCTCCTCCTCCTCCACTTCCTCCTCCTCCTCCTCCTCCTCCTCTTCCTCCTCCCCCGTCTCCTCCGCCTACAGACGGCGGGCCCCGGGAGGGGCTTCGAAGATGAAACAAACGTTATAAACATAAATTCTTGGCGCTTCGCGCGGATTTCTTGGATCCGCGCTGGACCCCCCAGCGGCGCCTCCGGCGCCGCCCCTGGCGCGCTCCGCGCGCCAGGGAGGGGGGTCCAGCGCAGATCCAAGAAATCCGCGAAGAGCGCCACATGTTTATGTTCTTGCTGGTCTTTCTTCTGGTGGGGCAGTGAGAAGGGGCGGGCCTCCTCGCAGGGCCTGGGAGCCCCCCGGCCTGCCGAGAGGTCTTCGGAGCCCGCCCCGAGGACGCCGAAGACCTCTCAGGAGGCGCGGGGGTTTCTGAGAAGCCTTCCGAGAGGGCCTTCTCCTTCTCGCTTCCCCCCCTGGGCGGGCCGCCGAGTATCGGTCAGAACGGGTAACTGCTGGACCCCTCCCGGGGTCTGTCCGACGCGGCTTTTTACCATGGATCGAGTTTCGGAGGTCCCAGGCCCCCGAAAGGGGCCCCCAGGGGCCGAAACCTGCGACAGACCGCCCCGAACCTCGAGGCTCGAGCCTCGAAGTTAGCACCCCGTTCGGCCGCCGAGAGAGGGCGGAGAGGCCCCCCCGAGGCCCCAGGGAGGCCTTCTCGTCGCCCCCTTCCCCCCAGCAGGCCGCCGCCCGATCGCGCTCCCAAGAGCCCTGGGGCCCCCGAGGCCCCTCTGCGCCAAGGGGCTCTCGCCTCGCTCACTCATCGCTCGCTCCTCGCTCGCTCCTCCAGAAGCACACAGGCTGAATACTGCTCTCCTAACCTCAGGAAGGCATTAAGAACCCCCCCCCCCCTTTTCCGGTGGATTATAACGCCCCCGCACCTTGGAGCGTTATGGCCGCACCGGAAGACCTGGCTGAGGGGACTCGGGGCCTAGCTAAGGCCTGCCAAGCGCAGATTTGCTCCTGCCAAGCAGTTTAGCAGGGCCAAGCAGGGCTTAGCAAGGCTTAGCAGGGCATAACAGGGCTTTGCAGGGCTTTGCAGGGCTTTGCAGGGCTTTGTAGGGCTTTGCAGGGCTTTGCAGGGCCTTGCAGGGCTTAGCAGGGCGTAGCAGGGCTTAGCAGGGCTTAGTAGGGCTTACCAGGGCTTAGCAAGGCTTAGCAGGGCTTAGCAGGGCCTAGCAGGGCTTAGCAGGGCCTAGCAGGGCCAAGCAGGGCTTAGCGGGGCTTAGCAGAGCTTAGCAGAGCCTTAGCAGGGCTATGCAGTGCCTAGCAGGGCTTAGCAGAACTTAGCAGGGCCTAGCAGGGCCTAGCAGGGCCTAGCAGGGCCTAGCAGGTCTTAGCAAGGCTCATCAGGGCCTAGCAGGGCTTAGAAGGGCTTAGCAGGGCTTAGCAGGGTTCAGCAGGGCGAAACAGTGCCTAGCAGGTCATAGCAGGGCGTGGCAGGGCTTAGCATGGCTTAACAATGCTGATCAGTGCCCAGCAGGGCTTAGCAAGGCTTATCATGGTTCAGCAGGGCTTAGCATGGCTTAGCAGGGCTTATCAGGGCTTAGCAGGGCACAGCAGCCCTTGCAGGGCCTGACGGGGTCAGCAGGACTTAGCAGGGCTTTGCAGGGCTGAGCGGGGCTCAGCTTTTCGCAGGTCATCAGTTTGTCTTAGCTTTTCTATGGTTTCCCTTCGCGCCCCCTCTGGTGATTATTGATATGGGACGGTGCTAGGATAACGCTGTCGGTGCGGGGCGGGGGGGATACCCTGGGATGGACTCCCCCCTAGGAAGGCCGACGAAAGCCTATTTCTCTAAGGGGGGTGTAAAAGGAATCGCAAATGAAAAGGAGGAAGGAGGAGGAGGAGGAGGGGGAGGAGGAAGAGGAGGAGGAGGAGGAGGCTTTTAGCTTTGTTTACTTCTCAGGAGGACGTCTCCGGTCCCTTCTCGGGCCTCCTCAGGTTGCCCTGTGTGCCCTTTTTCCTTGGTTTTTGCCTTAGCTTATCCTTTCACTACGAGGAGGAGGAGGAGGAGGAGGAGGAGGAGGAGGAGGAGGAGGAGGAGGAGCAGGGCTTAGCAGGGCCTAGCAGGGCCTAGCAGTGCGTGCTTATCAGGGTTTCGCAGGGCTGAGCAAGGCTTAACAAGGCTTAGCTGGGCGTGGCAGGGCTTAGCAGTGCTTGGCAGAGTTTAGCAAGGCTTTGCAAGACGTGCCAGGGATAAAGGTGCACAAAGATCTGGGCTAGATCCTTGACGTTCGTCACGACACCCTCTCTTGGCGTTAGTGGGGCGGCCGCCGATGGTGGATTTTGTTTTCTGTGTGCGGCGGGTGCTAAGTGTATCGTTCGGCTAAAACTGCCCGCCTGGAATATTGAGAAAACCGGGTGCTAAGAATAACCCAGGGGGGGTTCTTAATGCCTTCCTGAGGTTATCCTCCTCGTCCCCCTCCTCCTCCTCCTCCTCCTCCTCCTCCTCCTCCTCCTCCTCCGCCTCCGCCTCCTCCTCCTCCTCCTCCTCCTCATCCTCCTCCCCTCTCCCTCCCCCTCCCCTTCCCCATCCCCCTCCCCCTTCCCGTCCACAGCTAAGCAATATGAATACTACTCTCCTCTCTGCTCCGGTGGCGTCCAGGAAATGGCCTGCCCCCCACCGTGTACGGTTTTTTTGCACGCAGGATTCCCAGGTAACGGCTTTCGCTGTTGTTGTTATTGTTGAACATTATTAATTCTAAAGAATAATTATTGTTGGGACCCCTGGTGCACGGCCCCCCTGCGCCGCCTAGGCCGCAGCTACATTTTCATCATTTTCGTGAGGAAGCCTCAGGTAATTCGATGTGATCAAGATCCGGTTGTTTTGTTCCCCCCCGCTTTCCCTTGCAAAAACACTATAAAATGACATTTCTTGTTCTAATATAATCAAATTTCAAGAATCCTTTGCAAAAAATAAGGTAAAGTGGACATTCGCGCGCGCAAGACGAAATCCTTCCAAAAGCTTAGTGTTCGGAACGATTTTAACATAAAAACATCAAAAAACCAATGGTTTTTCAACAAAAAAATGTCAAAATCTCATCCCGCGCGCTCTTGCGGATTCGTAGGAAACCCAACACTTTTTAAACATTTCTGTCAAACGGGCTTTTGCGAGCAACTTTTTCGAACTTCTGCGACAACGGTTGCGCACCTGCCAGGGCCATCATCCCTGTCAAATAATACCATGCGGGACACATTCGTTTTTTCTTCGCGCGCGCACGCCGAAATCTCCAAAAACCATTGGGCTTCTTAAGAATTTTAGCACCGCGCATCATAAAATCACACGAATCGCACCGTAGGTCCTCGAAAAACACCTGCACGACTTTTCAAAATTTCTACCCGCGCGCGCTGTCCTAACAACTTCTGTGGGTGTGTACTCCACGCCAGTGTAGTAGCCACGGTCGTCCGCAGGCCACGAAGTGAAGTGTCCGAACGTCATAGGGCGGGAAGCTGGGTGTGGGTGGTGGCGAAGAGTCGTGTGGATATTTGGTAGAGCTTGCACTGCCCCCCCACAAAGTGGGGGTATTGGCTGGCGTCGCATGAAAACCCTGGCACTGGTGAGAACACTGAGCGTTCGGGTAAAGTGATTGTTGTTGTTGTTGTTGTTGTTGTTGTTGTTGTTGTTGTTGTTGTTGTTGTTGTTGTTGTTGAGCATTATTTATTCTAAAGAATAATTATTGTTGGGACCCCTGGTGCGCGGCCCCCTCGCCGCGCCTAGGCCGCAGCCACATTTTCATCATTTTCGTGAGGAAGTCTCAGGCAAAACGTGGGTGTCCGGATCCGGTTGTTTTGTTGTCCCCCGTTTTCCCTTGCAAAAAATAAGCTAAAGTGGACATTTCTTGTTCTAACATAACCAAACTTCAAGAATCCCTTGCAAAAAATAAGGTAAAGTGGACATTCGCGCGCGCAAGACGAAATCCTTCCAAAACCTTAGTGTTCGTAGCGATTTCAACATAAAAACATCAAAAAACCAATGGTTTTTTTTTTTTAAAAAAAAAAATGTCAAAATTTCATCCCGCGCGCTCTTGCGGATTTGTCGGAAACCCAACACTTTTTAAACATTTCTGTCAAATGGGCTTTTCCGAGCAACTTGTTCACGTGCTTCGAACTTCTCCAACAACCGTTGCGCACCTGCCAGGGTCATCATCCCTGTCAAATAATACCATGCGGGACACATTCGTTTTTTCTTCGCGCGCGCACGCCGAAATCTTCAAAAACCATTGGGTTTCTTAGGAATTTTAGCACCGCGCAACATAAAATCATACGAATCGCACCGTAGGTCCTCGAAAAACATCTGTACGAATTTTCAAAATTTCTACCCGCGCGCGCTGTCCGAATCTTAAAAAACCAATGGTTTTTCACGTTACCACCAAAAACCAGTACAGGTGTCCAGTGTTGGAACAGGGGGAAAAGTCGTATACTAAGCTAGCGTCCAGAAAATGTTACCACAACAAGTCACTGTACCCATGCGCCAGTGTAGTAGCCACGGTCGTCCGCAGGCCACGAAGTGAAGTGTCCGAACGTCATAGGGCGGGAAGCTGGGTGTGGGTGGTGGCGAAGAGTCGTTTGGAAATGTGGTAGAGCTTGAACCGGCCCCCCCACAAAGTGGGGGTATTGGCGGGCGTCGTATGAAAACCTTGGCACTGGTGAGAACGGAGTGTCCCCACGTGCTAGTAATTGTTGTTGTTGTTGTTGTTGTTGTTGTTGTTGTTGTTGTTGTTGTTGTTGTTGCAAAATGATGCTCTCGCTGAAGCGCTGGCTTCATTTTCAGGCTGCCGCCGCTCGTTCCGAATCGTGCTCCCGCTGCAGCGCTGGCCTCATTTCCGCGCTTTCGCTCGTTCCGAATCGTGCTCCCGTTGTAGCGCTACCGTCATTATTTCCAGTGCCATGCTACGGCATGGCTTTCGGTCCTTCCAAATAGGCCCCAACATCTAAAACATGGCCTCCCGAAGGAATCATCGGAATTGATTTCACATTCGGTGTCGATTCGTTGATTTTTTGAGCCGCAGAAGCCCTTCGCCACGCCATGCTATGACATGCAAAGCGTTAGTCTTCAACACCATGCTATGCCATGCAATGCTATGCCATGCTACGGGATCCGATTGTGCGAAAAGAGAGGAGATCTACGCCATGGTAAGGGATGGGATGGGAGGGAGGGATAGGTCGTCAGATATGACGCGAGCGCACCTAGCTTGCTCCATCCCCCTCCCCCTCCTCCTCCTTTTCCTCCTCCTCCTCTTCCTCCTCCTCTTCCTCCTCCCACTCCTTCTTCGCACCGCGCTCCTTCCTTCTCGCCCCTCGACCCCAGGTTCTCTCTCTCTCTCTCTCTCTCTCTCCCCTCGCCGCCTTCTTCTTGCTTCTGGCCCTCTCCCTTCGCCCCTCTCGTCTCCCCGCCCCGCAGCCCAAGGCGGCCTCGATGCGCTGTGGTCGTGCACCTTTCCTTCTGCACCACCCCCGCAGGCAGGCATTCGGGACAACATTTCCATCTGTCTGCCATGGCCTTTACCGCGGGTTCACTCGAGTCAGCTACAGCGCCGGAATCAGCGCGTGCGAGAAGGGCGTGCAGTGGCAGCGAGCGCTCGCGCTGCTCCGCGAGATGCGGGAGGCGCGGCTGGAGCCCAACCTGATCTGTATACTACAGTTCCAGTCGCGGCGCCTGTGAGCCAGGCGCTCCAGAGCAATCGGGGGCAGAAAAGAGGGTGGTGATGACTAGGTGGGGGTGAATATCATGGCGTGGGCCATGATATTTCCCCTGATTTCGTGGCGCCTCTTCTTATCTCATTACGTCCCTGGCCCCCCTGCTGGGCCGCGCACATGCCGCCGGTCATGATTTGCACCCCCCCCTCTTGGACACCCCACTCTTGGCCGCTCCAGAGCAAGCGTTCCAGAGCGCCCCCAAGCGCCCAGAACGCTCCCCGGACGTTCCCCGGCGGGCTTAGGGCGTCGCCACATGGTGCCGACACGGCCTCGGACAGCCTAAACTCGCCCAGGGCCGCTTGGCCCGTATCCACCCACCCATTTAGGCGGCAAGCGCCCTAACTGGCACCTCGCAGTCAGACTACCTCCCAGCCGAACGTGAATCTCAGGCCAGCCCAAGCAGCGTCTCGGTTGCCGTCAGGCATGGCCCGCGAGGGTTTTATCTCATTATCAGTGATGCGGCTTACGCGCAAGCGATTATCCTGTGCCCGCCTGGGCGATCATTTAAAAGATTTATAACCCCAGAACTACAGCCTAATTTACCGTGAGGTTGGTCTGGCCCCTCCTGGAGCGCCAACATAAAATCGCTAAAAGGCATGGCTTGCCACTGGCAATTTTTTAACCTCGAATCCTAAAGTTTTCCAGAGTGGACCCACCCGATCGGCTGGCTGGAAAAGACGTTTCCTGGCGATCCGGGCTTCCCTGGGAGCTCCCAAGGCCCCCGAGACCAACCTCACGGTGAATTGCCGATCGCCCAGGGGCCCAGTGCCCCCCTAGGTGCGAAAAGACGTCTCCTGGCGACTCGGATCGCCCAGGGGCCCAGGGCCCCCCTGGGGGCCAAAAGATGTTTCCTGGCGGTTCGGGCTTCCCTGGGGGGCTCCCAGGGCCCCCAGACCAACACCACGGTGAATTGCCGATCGCCCATGGGCCCAGGGCCCAAGATGTCTCCTGGCGACTCGGGCTTCCCTGCAGGCGCACCCTACGAGCTCGCCAGGAGCCCCCAGGAGCCCCCCAGGAGCTCCCCATGAGCCTCCGAGGAGCCCCCCAGGGCCCCCCCAGGAGCTCCCTAGGAGCACCCCGGGAGCACCCCAGGAACCCCCCAGGAGCCCACCAGGAGCCCGCCAGGAGCCCCCCAGGAGCTCCCCTCCCGGGCGCCCGCCAGGAGCCCCACAGGAGCCCCGGAGCCCTCCAGGAGCTTTCCAGGAGACCCCCAGGAGCCCAGGAGCCCCGGAGCCCCGGGCTCCAGGAGCTTTCCAGGAGCCCCCCAGGAGCCCCCCAGGAGCCCCCCAGGAGCCTCCCAGGAGCTCCCCTGAGGGCCCTCCAGGGCTCTCCCAAGGCCTTCCAAGGCACCCCAGGCGCCCTTCACGGTGAATCAGCTGCCGCCCAGGGCCCAGGGCGCTCCTGGGCGCGCCATTTGGTTTTCGTAGTTCAAGAGGGGCGGTATCAGCGGAGCGAGCGAAGCGAGCGGAGCCGGCGCCACGAGCGCACAATCAAACGCCCGCGCGGCGTTTCACCCCAAACTCTTTCCCCCGACGTAAAGCGTCAACCCTAAACCCAGGATTGCGCATATCTTAAGACCCAAGAGGGTATCTGTGTACGTGTGATACACAAAGCACTGTATGTCGTACACATGAGAAAGATCGCCAAACCGACTGGAATCGTGGAGCCCTAAGAGAAAGAGAACCTCGACTACCGAATGAACCTAAACCCTAATCGAGAAAGCCGTGGGTGGTTCGCCGCCCTAACGGGCTCGGGGTGGGAATATGAAAAAGGGGAGCTGGCCCCGTAGCCGAAACATGATTCCGCTCACCATGATATCACCTCAACACGGTTACCCCACCCCCACTCCATTTTATGGGTGGGGGTGGTCTTACACCATTGATGATCAGCAGGCGCTGACAGAGGACACCCTAAACCCTAAATCCTAGACCCTAAACCCTAGCCGCGAGGATGCCAGGACGGCTGAAGAGGGCCCGAAGACTTGCCAGCAGGCCCGACAGACGGCCCATACGGACCCCGATAACGGCCCCACGAGGCGGTACTACAAACATAACCCATATGAGTTCTAAGGTTTTTGAGATTCCTCCCGTGGCGGGCCCAAAACGACCCAACACAGCTCCAGGCTCTTCCAAGATCGCACCAAGATGGCGCAAGAGGCCTTCAAGAGCGACGGCCCACTAGGGTTAAGTCGGGCCTGTCTCCTACCGGAGGACATGCCCGACCTAACACTAGGGCCTCAAGACGGCCCAGAAAAGGCTCCAGAGGGCCTGACAGAGCTCTTGCTGGCTCCCCAAGACGCACCATACTCCCTGACGTCCCCAGACCTCCACCACGGCCGCAGGGTTGCCCAAAAGGTCCCCAGGACGGCCCAAGAGGGCTCACGAGTATTCCGATGACGGACCCACGAGGCCAACAATCAAGCACAAACCTCGTATTTCCAACTGCTTTCTTACATGGTCCAAAATGAAGGGCCCAGAACGACCCCGAGCGCCCCCTGGCATTTTTAAGATCGCCCCAAGATTGTCCGAGAGGCCCCGACGAGCGCACCAAGACGGTTTAATATGGCCCCAAGCTGGCCCCAGACGGCCTAGTAAAGCTTCTGGTGGTGTCCACAAGACGCCCCAGGAACTGCCCAAGCGAGCCCAAGCCAGGCACCCAGACGGCCCCAGACCCCCACCATGGCCGCAGGATTGCCCAACAGGCCCCCAGGACGGCCCAACAGGGCCCACGAGTATTCCGATGACGGACCCACGAGGCCAACAATCAAGCACAAACCTAGTATTTCCAACTGCTTTCTTACATTGTCCAGAATGAAGGGCCCAGAACGGCCCCACGCGTCCCTTCGCATTTTCACGATCGCCCCAAGATTGTCCGAGAGGCCCCGACGAGCGCACCAAGACGGTTTAATCTGGCCCCAAGCTGGCCTCAGACGGCCTAGTAGAGCTTCTGGTGGTGTCCACAAGACGCCCCAGGAACTGCCCAAGAGAGCCCAAGCCAGGCACCCACACGGCCCCAGACCTCCACCATTGCCCCAAGATGGCCCAAGAGGTCCCCGAAACGGCCCAAGAGGGTTTTAAAATGGCCCAAGAAGGCCCCAAAATGGCCTAAGAGGGCTGCAAGAGTTGTTCAAGAAGAACTACTCCGAGGTGTTCTGCCTGCAGACCCCGACAGTCGCCAAGGCAAGAGAACCCCTAGCCCCAGCACATTTTGCCTTTCTTGATTCGCGGACGGCCCCAAGCGGGCCCCAAGAGCTGTCCAAGAAGGACTCCTCCGAGATGCTCGACGGTCTCCCAAACAACCCCGGCAGTTGCCAAGGAGCTCCCAAGAGAGCCTCCAGCCCAAGCATACCTCGCCGTTCCTCAGTCTTCGGAAGCCCCGAAGAAAGTCCAAGACCCCACATGCCCCAGACCACTCCTAGATGCCCCGCGGCCCCCCCAAGAGATTTCTGAGAGTTGTCAAGGAGCTCCCACGCGAGCCTCACGCCCCGACACTTTTTGCCGAATCTGGCGCACTCGAAGCACCTGAGACAACCTGGACCCCCAAGCGCGCCGCAGAAAACCCCTTCTCCCTGTTCTCCTCTCTCTTCTTCATTCTTCATCCCCCTTCTCCCTTTCATCCTCCTCCTCGTGCTCCTCCTCCCCCTCCTTCCCCCTCCTCCTCCTCCTCCTCCATTCCTTTTCCTTATCGATATATTCTTCCCTGTCGGGCCCCGAGGCCAGTCGAAAGGGCGGGCCGGGCGCTTCACCTAAGACTTCCTCACCACTTATGACCATGATGCTTCATTAGCAGCAGCTTCACAGATGGAGGGCGGGTGGTTTTCAACATGTGGCTCTCGCCGTAGCGCCGTGCACATTCGCTTCAGACATGTGCAAGAACTTCACGGGTGCATGGCGGCTCGTCTTCAAAATGCGGATATCTCCTCAGCGCCGCGCACATTCGTTGTAATCATTTGCAAGAGCTTCTCGCATGAAGGGCGGGCATGTTTCAAATGATGGTTCAGAACTTAGCGCCGCGCACACTCATTGTACAACATTGGAAGAACTTCCGGATTGAGGGCGGGTGTTTTTCAACATGTGGCTCTCGCCGTAGCGCCGTGCACATTCGTTTCAGACATGTGCAAGAACTTCACGGATGCATGACGGCTCGTCTTCAAAATGCGGTTATCTCCTTAGCGCCGCGCACATTCGTTGTACGCATTTGCAAGAGCTTCTCGCATGAAGGGCGGGCATTTTTCAAATTATGGTTCAGAACTTAGCGCCGCGCACACTCATTGTACAACATTGGAAGAACTTCCGGATTCAGGGCGGGTGTTTTTTCAACATGTGGCTCTCGCCTCAGCGCCGCGCACATTCGTTTCAACAATTGACAGGGAGCGTACATATTGAGGGCGGTTTGTCTTCAACATGTAGCTCTCGCCTCTAGCGCCTCGCACATTGTGCTCTACCAAAATTGCAAGAGCTTCGTTTTCAAAATGCGGCTCTCGCCTTAGCGCCGCGCACACTAGTTGTACATATTTGCAAGATGCCCATCGCTTCTCATTGCTAGCATACCAGAAATCTTATGTTGGAGCGACTCTGAATTGTCAGGACGCAACGTTTACGTGCATTCGCCGTGTTGGGGTCCCAGGAGTGGTGTTGCGGCATTGTTCAGGATCGCCAAGACGTAACAGTCAGGCGAACCCGTGGCGTTGAAGTCCTGAATGGTGTTTTGGCGCGCTCCAAGATGTCCATACGGCTGTCCCTAAACGGGGCAATGCCCCCAGTGGAAATGACGAAGAGGGATCCTGGAGGGAGGGTGTAGTTCAACACTGTTGACGAGTGTATGGTTAGCACTGGTCCTCCTCCTCCTCCTCCTCCTCCTCCTCCTCGTTCTCCTCCTCCTCCTCGGTGCCTCCACGCCCTCCCTCTGGTGTCGCTGCCCTCCTTCTGCTCGCTTTCTTTCCCCTCCCTCTCTCCTCCTCTCCCCCTGCACACACTAGCACGCCTCGACCTCCCCCTCCCAACGGGCGATGGGGGTGACAGGGGAGACCTCCACGACACCCCAAAGACAGCCCCAGACCCCAAACGAGGCCCCAGAAACCTCTTCTCCTGGTTCTCTCTTCTGTTCCTCCTCCCCCTCCTCCTCCTCCTCCTCCTCCCGCTCCTCCTCCTCCTCCTCCTCCTCCTCCTCCTCCTCCTCCTCCGCCTCCTCCTCTCTCTCTGCCTCTGGGAGCCTCCACTCACTCTCTCTGGTGCTCCTTTTGCTGGCGTGACGACATCTGCGCTTTCCGGGACCACACTTCGACCTGCATGCCGTGGATTTTCAGCGGGTGCACACTCGTCTGTATCACAATGCCAGGCGAAGCGCGCGCGAGTATTTGAAGCAGTGCCAGCGCCCGGGGCCGCCCAGAGAGTCCGCGGGCCGCCCGGGGAGCCTCCCGGGCCCTCCTCGACGGCCCAAGGAGGCCCCTGCGGCGCTCGCCGACGGCTCCAGGAGACCCAGATCGCCCCAAGACGGCCTCACAGGCGCCCAAGAAGGCCGAAGCCGTTCCGACCGGAGCCCCACGACGGCCCAAAAAGGCTTCAGAGACGGCCCTCGAGGACCGCGTGGACGGCGCCAAGAGGCAAAACTAGCACGTTTTCTAAAGGTTTCGAGGGTTTTCCTGTTCCCGCCTCTTCGGGCCTACAACGGCCCAGGATGGCCCCAGGGGCTTCCCAGATCGCCCTGAAGAGGGCCCCTTGACGCCCAAGAAGGCCCCTAGACGGCCCAAGAGCGCCCCACGACGGCCCAAGAGAGTTTCAAGTGACCCCCATGTCAGCCCCAACCGGGCCCCAGATCCCGCCCGAGCGGGCCCAAAGCGACTTCCGAAACGACCCGAGACTCCCAAGATGACCCCAAGACGCCCCAAGAAGGGCCCCAGATGCCGCCCAAGAGGGCCCAAAGCGACCTCCGAGACGGCCCGAGACCCCCAAGATGGCCCCAAGACGCCCCCTCACTCTGACTGTGCCTGAAAACCTTTTGCGTTTTTTGCTAACTGCGCCCAGGCCTGGCGCGATCAGCAGAAACCCATTCCTTTTCACGCTTCCAGGTCAGTGCCCCCAGAGCTCCCCGACTGCTTTCCGGCATCGCCCCCAGACGTGACCCCTTAAACGTCGGGCCCATACGTGGCCCCCAAACGGGACCCCCAAAGGCGGCCCCCACACAAAGCCTACGAAGGTCGCCCCTACCGCCCCAGTAAGCTTGGCCCCCGAACGTCACCCCCACGCGTAGCCCCAGGCGCCCCCAGACGTGGCCCCCATACAGCCCCCAACCATCGCCCTCAAACGTGACCGTCACATGTGCCCCCGAACCCCGCACGCGGCCCTCAAACATGGCCCCCGGCAGGGCCGCGAACGTTGTCCCCAACCATGACCCCCTGACGAGACCCCCCAACGTTGCCTTCAAACGAGGTCCCACAACGTAGCCCCCAACGATGGCCCCCACGCGTCCACCCCCCCACATCGAACTCCTCGCGCACAGGGACACTGTAAGACCGTTCGGGCCCCCTTACTCTGACTGTGTCTGAGAACCTACGTGTTTTTGCTAATCGCGCCCAGGACTCGCGCGATAAGCAAAAATACATTGCTTTTGACGCTTCCAGTGCTTGCGACACGTGCGCGTTCGGGACCAACGCCTGGACCTGCGGGCCGTGGATTTCCCATGGGTTCACACTAGTCAGCTTCAATGCTGTGGTCAGCGCGTGCGAGAAAGGCAAGCAGTGGCAGCGGGCGGTGGCGCTGCTCAGCGAGATGTCGGAAGCGAAGGTAGAGCCCAACGTCATCTATACCACAATGCTCGTCTCAGTGCTCGCGAGATTGCGCTGCGGTTGCAGCGGGCCAGGGCGGCTCCCAGCGCTCCTGGGGCGGTCCTGGACGGCCCCCTGGACGGCCGCCAGAAGGCTCCAAGACGTCCAATCACGGCTCAGAGACGCTCCAGAGCGCGCCCGGAGTGCACCAAGTAACACGAAGCAAGCCTCCAATGCTCCGAGGCGGCCAAAATTCACGCCAGGAGGCCTCCCACGGAGGCCGACGATGTCCCCGATGCCAGGCCCCACGAGGCCCAAGTCGCATGTTTCTGTTACGCTTTCTGCAGGATGTCCGGTTGCTCCCCATTCCACATTAAGAACGGCTCCGAACCCCTCCTACATCGGGCAAGCACTGCCCAAGAGACTCCCAGGAGAGGCCCTCGAGCGCCCCAGAGGCTCCCCACACGACTCCAGAGCGCCCGCAGACGGTCCCAAGGAGCCCCGAAGCCCCTCCACGAAGGCCCCGAGAGAGTCTCCACAGAGCCCTTCGGAACCCCAAGGACGCCCCAGGACGGCCTCACTGCTATTCTGCTGCAAGCTTCCTGGGCTGACTCCCAGGAGAGGCTTTGGAGAGCAGCCTGGGCTCGGCCCCCGAGGCGCCCGCCATGCCCCCAGCAGGAGGACCCAGCATGCCCCAGGCACGGCTCGCAGGAGGACCCAACAAGCCCCCGACACGGCCCCAGAGACAACCGGTACACCAGAGAAAAACCCCTAATCATTTGAATCATTTGATGGTTTGATGAATCGTGGGGTCGATAAGGAGATCGACCGGGAACCCGGGAACCCGGAACCCACCGCAATCAGCCCAGAACCAATAACCAGGAACCCAGGAACCCGGAGCCGGGAACCCAGGAACCCAGCTGGCCACCAAAATCGGCGGGAGACTTTCGCCAAATCTTCCAATATCCGCGAGGACCCCTTTAGTGCAAGCATGGATTGGGGAAAAGTGTCTCAAGAGGGGCCCCTTCCACCGCCACTCCGGCTCCCAGGAGGCCCCGAATGCCGGGGAAGCGGTGCAGCGCCGCGTGCATCGGGAGCCTTGAGACGGCGGTCAACGCAAACGGGGGTCAGCCAGAGCGCCCCGACCTTGCAGGATCCTGCAGGGCCAGGGTCGCATTGACCCGGGTTTGAATTGGGCGCAGGATCCTGCAGGATCTTGCAGGAGCCTTCGCACTGACCCGGGCTTGGGTGCAGGATCTCGCAGGACTTTGCAGGATCCTGCAAGGCCTGACTGACCCGTGTCTGGATCGACCCGGGTCTCGAGGACCCCCCCGACGCGTGCAGAGCGAGCGAGCGCCTCCGCCGAAGGGGCCAAGGCGGAGAGCGCTCGTGCCCGGCCATATATGGCCGAGGGCCGGGGCGCCGCACCTGCGCACACAGCCCGCCGGGGCGTGGTGCGGGGAGCGGCGCCGCCCGGCCCCCGCGGAGCAGCGCTCTCCCGCGGCGGCCGCCTCGCCTCACGCGCAAGCTGCACGTGGCAGCGCTCGGACGTGTGCACTTTTTTCTCGGCGAGGAGCATCGGGCAGCCTCCAGGGCCATATCGAGCAAGAGAAAGCACGCACGAGGCCGACACGTGCATGGGAGATTCGGGCCGGACGGAAGGGGGGGATTTGGAAAGGGGGGGTTGCGAAGTCTGCTGCGTGCAGCTGGTTTCGGCCCCACCGAGAGGCCCATTCCTCGATACATCGCTGCCTTCCGGCGCGGGGAGGCGCCAGGAAAGTCAGCTACGTGGGCTGATTCTCAAACCGCCCCTTTGCGACCCCCCCCTTGCGCCCGACCCGAGAGACGGAGGTCCGAGCGGCGGCAGGCGCACGCACGCAGCACGGCAGCAGGCCTCCCGAGCGGGGAGGTCGTGCCAGGAGCGCCCGTCGCACCGGGGGGGTCGGCGGGGCCGCGCCCGAGGCAGGGGGAGCGCACCTCCACGCCTCCCGGGGCGCGCGCCCCCTCTTCTAAAACGACGCGAAGATCGGGACAGAATCGGATCGGGATAACTCGAAATCTCTGAGAATCGGCGGGTTTGGAGGATGTATTGGGCGCCGCGGCCGCTCCAGAGCGCTCCGGAACGCTCTGAGAGCGCTCCGGAACGCTCTGGAGCGATTTATTCCGATCCTAGCCCTGTTTTATCCTCCCTCCTGGGACTGCTCGTATGTCGGGCGTGTCCCCAAACAGGGGGTTTTCTACGAAGAATAAGAAGCCCGAAACTAGTCAAACAATAGTCTAAAGATAGTCTGGGGACCATTTTGAGGATATGTTTTGACCTTTTTGGGGCATTTTGCGATGTATTTTTAAAATGTTTCGTCGAACATCCTCCTGTAGGGGGACACGCCCGACATAAGACTGCTCGTGCTGTTCCGCCTCTCCACTGTAGTCAGGGCGCTGAAGAAGGAAACCTGTTCGTTGGGGAGGGGTTCCGTGTTCCTGAATTGTTTTAGAGTGTGCCTTGGGTTTTCCTCCGGTGTTCCATGTGACATCGGAGTTTAACTTGTGGGAAAAAGGGGCCTGGTCCCTTATTTCGGATTCTCTAGGTCAACGCCCTGACTGTACCTGCCCCCTCTCGCGCCACCTGAGAGCGAGGTCTCTTGGCCCTATTCGCCGGGCAGCTGGGAGGGGTTCGCGGATTCTTTTTTTTTTCTCCTCGCGGGCGCAAGCGGACGCACAGGCGCCGAGTCGAAAGGTCTGGGCCACGGGCCGATCTAATTGGCAACTCGCAAGCCGGGAAGCACAGCGACCGAGCCCGACATCAGAACCTACCGCCGGAGGGGCAGCTGGCTGAGGCGGGGCTGGCTGAGCTGACTGCAAACGGCCAGGGTAGCGGATGCAAACGTGCGGGTGAATTAGGTCCTGCACGCCAGGAGTTGTCGTGACCTGTTCTGGATCTACAGACCAGACGTCGGCCCAGCGAGGCAGTGCCACCATACGGGCAGACCCGGGACGGCGGCCGACCAGGAACAGGGTCCGAGAGGTGCAATCGCGCTCGAACACAGGTACGCGATCGGACATTGTCGCCACAGGCGCCAGGGGTCAGGGCCACAGCGGCTGGAACGCGCCAAGGTAAGGCGGTGGCGATTTGCCAGTGGTGGGTGCGCAGACGGGTGCGCGGATTCGCGTCGCGTCGGCGCGGAGGCGACGTCGGCGCCGGCGTCAAGGGCTCCGCGCGGACATTGGTCTAGAATCGGCCGAGGTTGGACGATCTCGCGAGTTCAAAGCTGCCGATCGTGAAATTGTTTCCTTCCTGCAGGGGGTCGCCGCCGCGGTACGCTCTGTCGCTCGGCGGTCCTCCACTTGCACTTTTTCTTGCCCCCATGGTCTCCACGAGCTCCATGAGCTGTTCGGCTTCGACGCGCTTTTCTGTGGATTGAACCTGCGGTTTGCGAACCCCAGGTTCGGCAAACCTTGGCCTTCATCCACGGGTTCGTGCTCGCACCAGTCCTCTTCTCTACGATGCCCGGACCTCTGCGTGCGAGAAGGTACTGTTCATCAATCGCCCTGTTGTCCCTCATGGAGGGCCCGGGTGACCGAAAAGCGCTCTCGGCACAGCCAAGGGCTCCCTCGAGGGCGCGAAGTTATTCGCGCTTCGCGCTTCGCGGTCCTCGTTCCTCCTCCCCCTCCTCCTCGTCCTCCTCTTCTCCCTCTGGGGGGGCGGCGCGAGAGCGCGAAGTTATTCGCGCTTCGCGCTTCGCGGAGCGCGAAGCGCGAAGTTGGGAGCCCTTGTGTTGGCCACGCCCACTACACACGTACGGCCCAGCGGAGCCCACGGCCGAAGTGGCGCCCACGACGGCCCCAACGGCCCACGAGGACCCCAAGACGGGCCACGAAAGCCTCAAGAGGCCCGAGAAGCCAAGATGGCCTTCCAAGAAGGCCCACGCCAGCCACAGCAAATGAGTTCGACGTTCTGGCCTTTTCGGGCTCCCGGTGCTACCTGATGGCCCACGAGGCCCCAAACACCGCTCCACGGCTGCTTCTCAGGCTCCCAAGAGGGCCCCCAGGCAGCTGAACAGGGCCTCAAGGCGGCCCGAGAGGTACCCCGGACGGCACATGACACACCCACGAGGGGCATCAGAAGGCCCCGAGAGGGCCTCGGGCCGCGCCACCCCCAGGAGGAACCGAGAGGCTTCCATATTGCCTCGGAGAGGAGTGGACGCGAGGCGAGACGCTTCTTTCACGCCCGAGATGCGTCGTCAAATCGATGTGGAGAGTCACACTGACATCGGTAGTGAGATCGAATGCGAGATAGATTGTGATATCGTCAGTGATCTCGGCCGAGTAAGGTCAATCGTGATATTGATAGTGAGATCGATTCAGTGGGACATCGGCTCCAACCCCCATCGAGCGCACATCAGATCAGCACCCTGCAGCTAGAAGCAGCAATAGCACACGGCAGCGGCACGTAAGCATTACGAACAGCACGCAGCAGCGGCAGCAAACAGCAACACGCAGTAGCATGTGCCAAATGTGAGGTCCAAGCCCCACGTCATCATGTCAGCCTTTCGACAGCATGTCCACTATCACATGCCCGCTCGTGCAGATTTCATGGACGTAGTCCAGGGGTCAGACCTTAGTCAGCTACAACGCTGGGATCAGCGCGTGCGAGAAGTGCGAGCAGTGGCAGCGGGCGCTGGCGCTGCTCAGCAAGATGCGGGAGGCGAAGCTGGAGCCCAACGTCATCTCTACTATTTTGCAGGAGCACGTGCGTGTGAGAAAAGCTTCCGGATCAATGGTGCAAGGGAGGCCCTTGGGGCGCCCTGGCGGTCCGAGCAAATCATCAAGACGGCCCCAGATGGCCCGAAGGCGACGGGCCAGGAAGCTCTCATGACGTCCCAGGTAATGAGCCCTCGACGACCACGAAGAGGCCCCCCAGGAGAGCACCAAGGAGCTCCAATGACGTCAACGAGGCCCCACAAGGGCTCCAGAGTCTCCCAAGACATCCCAACAAGCCTCCCGGAGGATCTTCTGGATGGGGCCAAACTCATTGATCTCCCTTGCCTGTTTAACGAATCTAAGTTTTCATCTTTTCTGAGGCGTCAAACCGGCCCCGACGGCCCACGACCCCCCAGGTGACGCCAGCCCAGGAGGTCCCCGAGAAGGGCCTCAGGCACCCCCGGGACGCTCCAGGACGGTCACAGGACGGCACCAAGGCGACACCAGAGGAGAGACCCGAGACGGCCCCAGAGGGCCCCCGCCGACCACGGAGAGCCCCAGCACGGCTCCAGCTTCTGACGGCCCCACGCAGCCCGAGCCGCTTCCGAGATACACTCCACCCGAGTAAGCACGGGCAACCTTCCCAAGGGTACCCTTGCATCCTTGCCCCTCCGGCCCATCCTTGGCGACCTTCTTTGGCCAACCTTTTTCGAGAAACGTTAGCAGGGCCCTCCAAGGATCGTGCATCCTTACCGCGGAGGAGAAGGAGGACGAGGACGAGGAGGAGGAGGAGGAGGAGGAGGAGGAGGAGGAGGAGGAGGAGGAGGAGCAAGAGCAGGAGGAGTAGCAGGAGGAGGAGGAGGAGGAGGAGGAGGATGAGGAGGAGGAGGAGGAGCAGGAGCAGGAGAAGGAGGAGGAGGAGCAGGAGGGGCAGGAGGGGCAGGAGGATGATTTGGAGGAGAAGCTGCAGCCCCATGGCGGCCCGAGAGGGGCCCGCGCTTGGGTGCGAACAGGCGGCTGCCGCCAGGGCGGGTGTCCTAAGGACATTTCGGTCCCCCGCGCGCCGCCCGAGGCCGCCAGGGCGAGGGACTAAGAGGAGCAAGAGGTCATGATGATAAGGATGTTGATGATGCTGATGATGACGATGATGAGGCTGATGATGATGATGATGATGATGATGATGATGATGATGATGATGATGATGATGATGATGATGATGATGATGATGATGGTGATGGTGATGGTGATGGTGATGGTGATGGTGACGATGATGGTGATGATGATGATGATGATGGTTAGACGATGATGTTGATGATGATGATGCTGATGATGATGATGATTGCGATGATAATAATGATGCTGTTGCTGCTGCTGATGATGATGATGCTGATTGCGATGATGATGGTGATAATGATGATGCGTTCCAGGTGTTCCAAGATTTTCAGGAGGTCCACGCTTCCTGACGTTCCGCACCAGGCTGCGCCGCCAGATACTTTTTGGGAATCCTGGCACGCATCTGGAGCCGACCTCATCATGACATCACTCTCGCCCTATAGGCGCCCGAGGCAGCGCAGGCTCCCCGGTCCGCGACCTTCGCCGGCGGGACCAGGGGGGGCTCAGCCACGCGCAGAGGGGGGTGGGCGGAGGGGAGAGGGCTTCGTAGAAGCATCCCCGCTTCTTAGAAGGCGCGGGCCGTATCTATAGATGCAAGGCTGGCGCCTTCTGAGAAGCAGCCTCGTTCTAAGTGGGAATATTCAAAGATTGTTGAAACATCGTCTGGGGACGATTGTTTTACTGATTTTCCCAATTTGGGAGTATTCTTGGACTTGTTTGTAATGTTTCGTTCAAAAGCCGCCTGTAGGGGGACATGCCCGAAGTAAAAGTAGGTATCTTTGAATTCCCAGGTCCCAGTCCACTTCCAGCGCCTTCCTGCTTCAATAATCGATGTGCGTTCGCTATGCTTTGTGATTCTCTGGCTGCGTTGCTCCCATCGTACTTAAGGGCCACATATCAGAAATCATTACAAGCTCCCAGGAAAGTGTCGAAACGGTGTCGCACGAGTATCGCCTCCCAGGGCCCGACACGTGAAAGCCTTCAAGATTCGGTACTTTCCTGGTGCCCGAAGGGAATTAGGGTGATCAAGGCTGAAGTAGGTTGGAACATCATAACTCTCTGGGAGGGCCTGGGCCCAATCTGCTTCAGCCGCCTTACTACTTCATGTTTTAGCCTTCTCCTTCCGACTGGCGTGCAGTCGGCGGCGACGACAAGGGCGAACAGCCCAGGGGCGGGCACGACACGCATTCGCCCGGGAGCCTGGTCGAAGCCATAGATCATCGGCGCCCCTGGACAGATGTATTGCTCTCCCCTGGGCTATTCGCCCCGATCGTCGCCCCCGGTGTCGGGAAGCACGGGTCGCCCGTTCCGCGCGCCCTCGCCAGAATGCCCCGGGCCGTCCCCCAGCCGCCCAGCCCGGATGCTCGGTCGGCGCCGAGCCCCGCGTCGTCATCGGGGCCTCTTGGCAACATCTGCGCCCCGCTCCAGCGAGCCTTCTCCTTGGCATCGCTCGGACGCGTGCGTTTTTTCCCGGCGAGAGCCATCGAGGACCATCCTGGACCATCGAGGACAACAAAAACACGCACGAAACCGAAACATGCACGGGAAATGGACGTCCGAGCGACGGCGAGTTTCGGATAGCATACGCCGCATAGATGGGGTCGGAGCAGATGGGGTCGGAGGATCGCGCCGCATCGTTGATGCATCGCCGATGCGGAGCCCGATTTGCTTCACGTCGACGTCGCCGATGCGTCGCCGGCGTCGACGATGCGTCGTCGGTGCATCCCCGATGCATCGCCAAACTATTGGCGATGCAGCGCGATTCTCCGACCCCATCTATTCGGACCCCATCTGGGAGGCCAGTAGGCCACGGGTCAGCCGTGGCCTCTTCTACAATGCAGCGTCTCCTGCGTGTCAGAAGGGCCTGTGTCTCAATGGGGGTTTTCCAGGCTCTTGCGGGCCCAGGGCTCGAAAAGGGTTTGGGCGTTCCAGGACGGCTCAAGGGGGCCCCAAGACGGTCCAAGATGGTCCGAGACGCTTCCAGGCGGTTCAAGAGGTCGCCAATCTGGCCTGCATGCGTCCCAACAGGGCCCTAAGATGGCCAACGAAGGCCCCACAAGGCCCCCAAGAGGGCTGCGAGAGTCGAACATCATAGATCCCCCTTAGATGTTTACATGATGTTTGCATTTTCGGGGCTTCCGACGCTCCAAGACGGCCCGAGAGGCTTCCACTATCGCCTGAAGAAAGACGGCACGCCAGGCCCCCAAGAGGGCCCCCAGGCAGCCCAAGAAGGCCCCAATACGGCCGAGGAGGCCCCCATGACGGCCCATGACGGCGCCAAGAGAAACCCAAGAGAGCCCCAAGAGGGGGAGTTCGAACTGACGTTTCGCACCCTCCGCCCCAAGAAGATGACCCCCGAGACCACCAGCGGGCCCCCAAGAGGACCCCCAGAAGTCCCGAGAGGCCAAAACCAGGGCCCCGAGAGGCCACATGAAACTTCCAAAAACGCCTCCAAGAGGCTTCCGAGGGGAGATCCCTTAGAGAGCTCTTGCACCGCGCCGTCCAACCACGAAAGTCCCACGAGCGACCCAAGAGGTGACCAGATATTCGGCCGCACGCGCGCCGAGGCCACAGGAATTCGTGTGCTGGCCTCTTCTCACGCCTCCCCTCTCGCCCGTCGCTCCTCGCCGCTATCTCCTCGCTCCTTGCTCCGCTGCCCCGCTCCTCCCACCTCCCTCCTGGCCCCACGCCTCTCTCTCTCTCTTTCTCTCTCTCTCTCTCTCGTTCTGCCCACAACATCAGCACAAAACGGGCAACCGCGCACCTCTCGGGGGCGGCAAAAAGGGGGTGTGATGACTAGGGGGGTTGGATATCATGGCGAGGGCCAGGATATTTTCCCAGATTTCATGGTGCCTCTTCTTGCTTCAATATGTCCCTGGCCCCCCCCCCCTGGGCCGCGCACATGCCGCCGGCCATGATTTGCGCCCCCCCCACCTCTTGGACCCCCCCCTCCTGGCCGCCCCCGAACCTCGCACCCGCCACGCAGCACCGAGCGTAACTGGCAGCACGCCCCCCCGCCACCCGCCCGCATGCCTCGCCGAAGACATCTCACCCTATCCGTTGTCCGACCTCGCTCCCCGGATGCCTTCGGGCGCCTCGGGCGACGAGCACCCCCCCCAGGCACAACGAGCAAAGGGCGAGCAGAGGCCGAAGCTCGCCTTGCGCTATGAGAGAAACTATGGATTCAGTTTGTGTCGGGGTTTCGGTTTTCTGCTGTGCCTGGCGGCCCATAGGGGCCAGACGGATCGCGAGGAGGCGGAGGAGGAGGAGGAGGAGGAGGAGGAGGAGGAGGAGGAGGGGCCACCTGTGGTTGCTGCAGCTTCTCTCCCTGCGCTCGTCCGCGCCAGGCAGCCCCCACGGCAGCGCCCGACGCACCAAGCCCGGCGCACTCCCCGAGCGGCCCGCAGGGCCCAGTGCCCCGAACGCGGGCCCCGGGCGTGGTCACCACACTCCAGAGAGGGTGAACTCAGGAGGAGAACAAACACACAGACACAATGAGTCGTCGATTGCCCAGAACATATAGGGAAATATGGGCAGTGGGGGGGAGGACAGGAACCCAGAACATATGGGAAAATATAGGGGATATGTTTATTAGTGTGTATTTATGTGTGTGTGTCCCAGGGCCCCTTCATTAACGACGCCCACAAGGTTCAACAAGATGCCCCAAGATGCCTCCAAGAGCCCCCGAGGCCGCTTCTCAAGCCAACTTCCGCGCCTCACTCTCTTTGCTCCTCGCTCCCCGCCTTGGCTCCTGGATCCTCGATGTTCCCTCGTCTGTCCCACCTCTATCATCGAACCTGACCCTTCGTCAGCTACAGCGCAGGGATCAGCGCGTGCGAGAAGGGCGAGCAGTGGCAGCGGGCGGTGGCGCTGCTCAGCGAGATGCGGGAGGAGAAGGTGGAGCCCGACGTCGTCAGCTACAGCGCAGGGATCAGCGCGTGCGAGAAGGGCGAGCAGTGGCAGCGGGCGGTGGCGCTGCTCAGCGAGATGCGGGAGGAGAAGGTGGAGCCCAACTTCATCTACCATACGTCCAAGAGTGGCGCGTGCCAGAAGGATGCAGTGGAGACCCATGCCACGAAACACCCTGCTTGCCACCAGGGTACCCTTGGTTTCTTGGGTTTCGACGGTTTTGCTATGGAAAGCGTGGAGTTCCCACACCAAACACAAATGATCCTGTGGTCTCAGGGTTGGGTTTCTTGTGGAAGGTCTCTTGTGGACTGGCCTCCACTGTAGACCAGGAGGCTCCCAAGACCACCCAGGAGGACGCCGACGGCGGCCCGAGCCGGCGGAAGAGACGCAGCGTTTCCACTGGTATCCTGCTGGTTTTCCAGGGTTCTCGCAGACAGCCCCGCGAGTGGCCCCAAGGCGGCCTCGGAGCGATCGAGGACGGCCCCAGACTGCCCCGAGACGGCGCAGCAAGTTTTTACCTAACAGCGAAGACTGATAGGCTTCTAGTGGGGTCAAAAGAGAGCATCCTGATTCCCCAGGGGGGTCTGGGCAAGATCCGGGGGAAGCCGGGGAAAACCGGGGACTCCCCAGGACTCCTATCGATTTCTATAGTTTCCTCTGGATTCCTACTCTTCGTGTTCCCAATGCACGATTCCCAGGCCACATTTTGAATGCCAGGGACCACCTGTAGGCCACTTCGTGTTCTTCGTGTTCCCAGAACACAATTCCCAGGCCACATTTTGAATACCCGGAGCCAACTGTAGGCCACTTCGTATTCTTCGTTTTCCCAGAACACCATTCCCAGGCCACATTTTGAATGCCCGGAGCCAACTGTAGGCCACTTCGTGTTCTTCGTGTTCCCAGAACACCACTCCCAGGCCACATTTTGGATGCCCGGGACCACCTGTAGGCCACTTCGTGTTCTTCGCGTTCCCAGAACACTCTTGTACCACATTTTGAATGCCCGGAGCCAACTGCGGGCCACTTCGTGATCTTCGTGTTCCCAGAACACAAGTCCTGTGCCATATTTTGAATGCCCGAGCTGAGGCAGGCTCAGGCTGAGCCAGGCTGAGGCAGAAACAGGCTGAGGCTGAGGCTGAGGCACGCCGAGGCAGGCTGAGGCTGAGGCTGAGGCAGGCTGAGGCTGAGGCAGGCTGAGGCTGAGGCTGAGGCCGAGGCAGGCTGAGGCTGAGGCTGAGGCAGGCTGAGGCTGAGGCAGGCTGAGACTGAAGCTGAGGCAGGCTGACGCTGAGGCAGGCTGAGGCTGAGGCTGGCTGAGGCTGAGGCTGAGGCAGGCTGAGGCAGGCTGAGGCTGAGGCTGACGCAGGCTAAGGCCGAGGCAGGCTGAGGCTGAGGCTGAGGCAGGCTGAGGCTGAGGCTGAGGCTGTGGCTGAGGCAAGCTGCGGCTGAGGCAGGCTGAGGCTGATGCAGGCTGAGGCTGAGGCTGAGGCAAGCCGAGGCAGGCTGAGGCTGAGGCTGAAGCTGAGGCAGGCTGAGGCATCCGTAGGAATTCATATGAATCCTTAGAAATCCCTAGGAATCCTTAGGAATCCGTAGGCATCCTTGGGAATCCGTAGGCATAGTTCAGCATCCTCTGGAATCCTTAGGGTTCCCTAGGAATCCTTAGGAATCCCTAGGAATCCTTAGGATTCCATTGGATCCTAAGGCCGTTGCCACTGCGACTGTCATTGCGAATGCGACTGCGACTGCGAGAACAGCAGAATTCTACCACTGGATTCTCACCTGAATCTTAAGGGGAATGCTTCCAGATATGCTTTTACACATCGCTGTTAGGTTGCTGCGCCGGGATAAACTAAAGAGTGCTCACAGAGAGCCCCAGCACGGCCCAAGACGCACAACATGTCGCCCCCAAGAATGCCCGAGGGGGGCCCCAAGTAGCCCAACGGAGCCTTCAGAGGCCCGGAGAGGCATGCTGGACGCTACGACGAGGGCCCCAGGGGGTTCGGATGACGTCAATGCTCTGTGCGCCAGGGCACCCGAAAACGAACAGTGACCGTAGTCAGAGGGCCTCGCAGGCTTCAAAAACCCGAGAAGCCCACAAGAGCACACGCCGGACGGTCCAGGGGAGACGTACGTGCCGCCAAAGGTGCAATCAGCAACACAAGCGCTTATTCTCCATACTATTGCCGCGCAGCTCCAGGGCTCCCTTCGCCGCTGCCGCCAAAGCGAAGCGAGGTACACCGCCTCTTGGAAGTGCAGCCCCCAACACACTCTGGCTCCAGAGGCGCGCAGAGTCGGCGCCGAAAAGTACGCCGCCCAACGTCATCATGAAGACCGCTCGCCGCCCAACGCCATCATGAAGACCTTTCGGGTTCATCCCCGCCGGGACCCCCGCGATCTTGTTCGAAGAAGCGTCGTGGACGTAGCCCACGCGTTCGCCCTGGTCTTGGCATCGCTCGGACGTGTGCACTGTTTCCCGGCGGGGATTCTTCGGGAGCATCCTGGATCACCCTGCGAAACAGGCACTCAAAAACGCGGGCAATGGACGTCCGAGCGATGGCCAGTGGTGCTCCTTGCAGTACAGTCGGGGCCCTGAAGAAGGAACCCTTTTCGTTGGGGAGGGGCTCCGTGTTCCTTGATTGCTTCACAGCTTGCCCTAGGTTTTCTTCAGATTTTCGATGGGGAATCAAACTTTAACTTATGGAAAAAGGGGGCCTCGTTCCTCTTTTAGGGTTCCTTAGGTCAACGCCCCGATTGTACCAGGCCCAGCGCGTGCCAGAGGGGCCCGATTGGGGGCTTCGCCCTCGCGGCGCCTCCGCGGCTCCGCTCGCGGGCGCGCCCGCGCCCTGCCCCCCGCGAGGGGATCGACCGCGGGTGCCTCGAGAGGCCCCCCGAGCGCCACCCAGCAGGCCCCCCCCAAGAGTCAGCGAGCCGAGCGAAGAACGGTGTGAAATACACTTTTTCGCCGTCGGGGGCACCTGCCCCTGGGCGGCTGGAAAGTTTATAGCCCTACGGTGCCACCGTAGGGGTATAAACTTTCCAGCCGCCCAGGGGCAGGTGCCCCCGACGGCGAAACATTTTATCTTATACCGCTCTTCGCCCGTTAAAAGAGCCCCCCGAGCGCCACCCGGCATTCAGGAGAGGGAAAAACACACAGACACAAGTAATCCTCGATTCCCCAGAACATATGGGAACATATGGGAAGTGGGGGGGAAGACAGAAACCCAGAAAATCTAGTAAAATATGGGGAGTCTGTTTATTTGTGTGTATTTATGTGTGTGTCCTGGGGCCCCTTCAAGCATGCCCCCCCAAGAGGGCCGCCACATGGCCCAGGAGGGCTCCAAGACGCCCCGAGAGGCGCCCAGGACGGCCCAAGTCGACTGGACGTACGGGTGACCTTTCGGCGGAGTGACCTTCGGTGCGGGCACAGATGGTCCCCCAGATGGCTGAACGCGAAGCGGCAGCAGCGGCTTGCGCGCCCAGGTCTGGTCTCCCCGCGGCCCCCAAAAACGCGCACCAAAGGTCACTCTTACCCAGGGTCACTCTTACGTGTAGCCGGCCAAGGGGGCCCCCCAGAGGGACCTTCGGACTGACCCGTCGCGCCCTCCGCCCCAGGATGGCCCCCGAGACCGCCAGCAGGCCCCAAGGAGGCCCGCCCGACGCCACAGCAGGCCCCCGAGAGACCTCAATCGGGCCCCGATGGGGCCCCAAGGATGCTGTGGACTTCTTGCACGGACTTGCACACGCACCCAGCGTAGCAGGATGTTCTTCCTACGCTCGCTGGTTTTCTCTATTCCCCACGCCGTGCACCGTCAGCAGCGTGCGGCTAGCACCGTTGTGCTCCACGCCTCGCGGGAGAAAAACCCGTGTCCCAGAGGCGTCCGAGGGAAGATCCTTTTAAAGAGTTGTGATGACGCGAACCACTGCAGGCGCAAATGAGGCTGCAGGCGCTGCTATTCGTTCTCCTGTCCCAGCGAGTGCCAACCGCAGCTGGGACTGATGGGCCTGTTTTCCACTACCACTATCATATGGTAAAAGGGCTAGGGAAGGAGGTGGAGGGGGAGGAGGGGGAGGAGGAGGAGGAGGAGGAGGAGGAGGATGAGGAGGAGGAGGAGGAGGAGGAGGAGGAGGAGGAGGAGGAGAAGGAGGAGGAGGAGGAGGAGGAGGACCCCCCCTCCTACTTATGCTAGTGGTAGTAGGAAACAGGCCGATCAGGGACAGAGAGAGGGCAAAGCATGCCGAGTGCGAGCCTAGCAAGCAGCGTCGAGGGAACCCTTGGCCAACTCTCCAGGCGGTGGGCGCACAGGGCGGCCATCGAGCCCACAAACAACGTTTGATGGGCTTGTTTTCCACCACCACTAGCATAAATTGGAGTGGGAAAGGAGGTGGAGGACGAAGAGGAGGACGAAGAGGAGGACGAAGAGGAGGAGGAGGAGGAGGAGGAGGATCTGCGGCTTGCCCTCAAGGGTGAGCGGAGGGCCATTGCAGGCGAGTCCCAAATTGACCAGCCTCTAGCCAGACGTCCATCACGTGCGCGTCTAACGTAAGCAAACGAAGGAGTCGCCCGAGCAATCGACGACTCAGCAAACGTTACCTAGGGCCGACAGAGTGCTGAGCTGGATCTTGCAGCGCCTGGAGCAGACACGCTGCTGCCCAGTTCATTGACCTGACTGCGCCTCCAACTACAGCCCGACCGAGGTATAAGATCGAGGTCGGTTCGGAGAGGGCACCCCAGTGTTCCTCGCGAGTCCTGCATGTTCTGCGTGTTTTGGCCGGCGGAGGTTCTCATGTGCTGGAAGGGTGTTCTTCTGGCCTGGGTCCGGCTTTTGGCAGTGAACACACTGCCACACCTCACCCTGCGCTCTATCGCAGGCCTAGAGATTGACACCAACACCAATTTCGGCGGTGTGCCTCCACCGGGGGAAGAGCATCCCGATCTCGGCGATGGTGGCAATATTCTGGCTTCCAAGGTGGCCGAACTATCACCACCGACACCGAACTCTAGGATCACCCTCCCCCTGTGGAGGCAACCCTCTGTCTTGGTGTTGGTGCCAATGTCCAGGCCTCCGACTCCAGACCCTTCGTGGACGTGTCTGCGCGGCGGGGGGAGGCATCCATCGGGGCCCTCCAATGTCAGGAGGAAAAGAAACACACAGACACAATTAAATTTCGATTCCCCAGAAAATATGAGAAACTTTGGGAAGTGGGGGGGAAGACAGAAACCCAGAAAATATAGGAAAATATGGGGCATACTTTTATTTGTGTGTATTCATGTGTGTGTGTGTGTGTGTCCTGGGGCCCCTTCACAATGGCACCCCGTCCGTGGCCGAGACGAGGCCACGGCGGGAGAAGGTCCGCCGCCGGCTCGCCACGGCCGAAGGCAACACCATCGCAGGAAGCGCGCGTGTTCCCTGGGAGCGGGATCGGGCTGGGGATGCCGTAGCAGTCTTCTCCTGGCTGCGGCATCGGCGAGGGGAATACCGCTGCGCAAGATGTGCTCCGCCTCGGCACCTCAGATCTGCGCGGCAGAGGCTGCAGAACACAGCTGCCCGATCCAGTCGCGGACACTATGGAACGCTGATTCTGGGACCCCTCCTGCGCCGAGCGTGTCCCAAGATGCCGGGCTGGGGATGCCGTAGCAGTCTTCTCTTGGCTGCGGCATCAGGGAGGGGAACACCGAGCAGACAGCTGGCAGACAGCCCACCCTGCAGCAATGAGCAGCAGCAAGCGCACTCTGATCATCACTGGCACTTGCGGACGGTCGTCCGCGCGCAATCCCCAGTCAGTTACAATGCTGGAGTCAGCGCGTATGGGAAAGGCGAGCAGTGGCAGCGGGCGCTGGCGCTTCTCAGCGAGATGCGGGAGGCGGTGCTGGAGCCCGACGTCGTCAGCTACAGCGCTGTGATCGGTGCGTGCGAGAAAAGCGAAGAGTGGCAGCCCGCCCTGGCGCTGCTCAGGGAGATGCGAGAGGAGAAGCTGGAGCTCAACGTCATCAGCTACAGTGCTGCGATCAGCGTGTGCAAGAAGAGCGAGCAGTGGCAGCGCGCGCTGGCGCTGCTGGGCGAGATGTGGCAGGCGAAGCTGGAGCCAGATGTCATCACAGTGAAGGGGCCGAACGGTCATGCATTGTCCCTGGGTGCGTGGCTGAAATGTGGATCCGTGGTGGGGGTTCTTGTTGTTGCTCTTGTTGTCGTCGTCCCCCCCGCGACCCGGCCTGCGACCCACCCGCGACCCACCTCGCGACCCACCCGCGACCCACCCCGCGACCCTTCCGCGACCCACCCGCGATCCACCCCGCGACCCGCTCGCGACCCACCCGCGACCCACCCGCGACCCACCCTCGACCCACCCGCGACCCGGCCCGCGACCCGGCCCGCGACCCACCCGCGACCCACCGTCGACCCACCCGCGACCCACCTGCGACCCAACCCGCGACCCCACTACATCATTTTAACAAAAAATCGGCGCCTGCGGCGGGCTCGTTGTATAGCTTGAATTTTTGTTGCCTCTGCGGCGGGCTTCTTCAAAGCCTCGCAGGCTGCCGACGTCCCCGCCGCCCCCTCACTCTTATCCGCAACTGCAGGGTGCTATGTATTTTTCAAACTTGCAGCGGCCCCTGCGTGCCAGAAGGGCCTATGCACAAGTGGCCCACCTGGAGGTCCCCGTGGCATCCTGAGAGCCCTTTGGGCGCTCAAGGACGGCTCCAGAGGGACCCAAGACTGTCCAAGATGGCCGGAGACACATCCAGACAGTCCAAGAGGTCGTCAAAATGGCTTTCAGACGGCCCCACAGGGACGTTCTCGCCTGGTCGGTTTCCAGCGCTCCACGACTGCCCACGAGGCCCCGAAAATCGGCCCAAGACGGCTCAACAGGCTCCCAAGAGTGCCCTCAGACAGCCCAAGGGTGCCCCCAGATGGCACAAAGCCCAAAAGGCCTCCAAGACGGCCGTGATGGACCCGAGGTGGACCCAAGAGAGTCAGAGGAGGGGGAACTGGAATTTGGCACTTCGCACCCTCCGCTCCAAATTCACCTCCAAGACCGCCAGCAGGTCCCTAAGAGGCCCCCAAGAGTCCCAAGCCAGCCCCCAAGAGGCCCCAAGAGGCCCCAAGGCGACCCCAAACCGCCTCCAAGAGGCTTCCAGGGGAAGATCCCTTGGACAGCAGTGGGACTGCGCCAGCCAACCAACTGAGCAGCCCAAGAGGAGACCAGATGTTCGGCCAAACCCGCGCCGAGTCCACTGAGACATTCTTGTGCTGGCCTCCCATCCGGCCTCCCCTTCCACTCCTCGCGCCTCGCTCCTCGCTGCTCTCTCCTCGCTCCTCGCCGCGCGCTTCTCTCTCGTCCTTCGTAGCTCCTCCCTTCTTATTGTTTCTCGCTTCTCCCACCCCTCTCCTGGCCCCTCGCGTCTCCTTCTTGGCAACTGGTGTCTGTCTCTCCCCCCCCGACTCCTCTCGGCCTCTCCCACGTCCTGCTCGCCCCTCTCTCTCCTCAGCCGCCGCTCCTCCTCTCTCGCTCCTTGCTCCTCGCCGATGGCTCCTCGCTTCCCGTGCCTCGCTCCTTGCTCTTCGCTCCTCGGTGGGCTCACGAGCCGCAGGTTGCGCCAGCCAGCAGGCGCACCGCGACGCAGCACTCTGCAGCCTGGAGCCGCCGCAGGGAGCAGCAGCCACTCGAAGCAGGCAGCTCGAGCGCACAGCAATAGCAAGCAGTTAGTACAGTGGGGGGCCATATCAAGAAACGCCTCGCTTGTCTCCAGGGTGCCCTGGGTTTTTTGGGGTTCGATGTTTTTTTCTCCCAATCATCCTGTGGTGTTGGGTCCTCGTTTTGAAGAGACGGTCCCCACGTTCCTCTCCTCTTCTCCTCCCCCTCCTCCCTCCACCACCACCATCATCATCAGCATCAGCATCAGCATCATCATCAGCATTAGCATCAGCATCATCATCATCAGCATCATCATCCTCATCACCATCACCATCACCACCACCATCATCATCATCATCATCATCAGCATCATCATCATCATCAATAACATCATCATCTTCATCATCATCAACATCATCATCAGCATCATCATCCTCATCCTCCTCATCCTCCTCCTCCTCCTCCTCATCATCATCATCATCAGCATCATCATCATCATCATCATCATCATCATCATCAACCGTTTCAGCCCACCCCTCACACGCTTCGTGGCCCCATAGGCAGCTCAACACAAGTTCCACGTGCCAGCGTTCGCATGCGCCCGCCGCACTCATTTCGCCACACCCCTCACACGGTTGTTGGCCGCATAGGGAGCTCCACCGACGGCCCCAGTGGTTGCGTTCGCATGCGCCCGCCGCACCCATTTCGGCACACCCCTCATACGTGTCGTGGCCTTGTACGGGGCTCCACTGAAGGCACCAGTGGCTGCGTTCGCATGCGCCCGCCGCACCCATTTCGGCACACCCCTCACACGCATCGTGGCCTCGTAGGGAGCTCCACTGTAGGCCCCAGTGGCTGCGTTCGCATGCGCCCGCCGTATTTATTTCGGCACACCCCTCACACGTTTCGTGGCCCCATATGGAGCTCCACCGACGGCCCCAGTGGCCGCGTTCGCATGCGCCCGCCGTACCCATTTACTCGAGGCCCCAGTGGCTGCGTTCGCATACGCCCGCCGCACGCATTTCGGCACACCCCTCACACGTTTCGTAGTTCCGCAGGGGGTTCCATTGAAGGCCCTAGTGGCTGCGTGCGCGTGCGCCCGCCGCACCCATTTCGCCACACCCCTCACACGTTTCGTGGCCCCGTAGGGAGCTCCAGCGAGGGCCCCAATGGCTGCATTCGCATGCGCCCGCCGCACCCTTGTCGACACATCCTCAGACGCTTCGTGGCCCCACCCGAAGGCCTCAGTGGCTGCGCTCGCATGTGCTTGCCGCACCCATGTTGGCACACCCCTTCACTCGCTTCGTAGCCCCGCAAGCGGTTCCATTGAAGGCCCTAGTGGCTGCGTGCGCATGCGCCCGCCGCACCCATTTCGGCACACCCCTCACACGTTTCGTGGCCCCATATGGAGCTCCACCGACGGCCCCAGTGGCTGCGTTCGCATGCGCCCGCCGCTCCCATTTACTGAAGGCCCCAGTGGTTGCGTTCTCATGCGCCCGCCGCACCCATTTCGACACCCTCACACGTTTCGTAGCCCCGCAGGCGGTTCCACTGCAGGTAGTGGTTGCGTTCGCATGCGCCCGCCGCCCCCATTTCGGCACACCTCTCACACGCATCGTGGCCCCGTAGGGAGCTCCTCCGAATACCCGGGTGGCTGCGTTCGCATGCGCCCGCCGCACTCATTGCGGCACACCCCTCACACGCTTCGTGGCCCCATAGGGAGCTCCCCCGAAGGCCCCAGTGGCTGCGTGTGCATGCGCCCGCCGCACCCATTTATCGAAGGCCGCAGTGGCTGCGTGCGCGTGCGCCCGCCGCACCCATGTCAGCCCCTCACACTTTTCGTGGCCCCGTAGGGAGCTCCACTGTAGGCCCCAGTGGCTGCGTTTGCATGCGCCCGCCGCACCCTTTCGGCACACGCCTCACACGCTTTGTGTCCCCGTAAGGAGCTCCACCGACGGCCCCAGTGGCTGCGTTCGCATGCGCCCGCCGCACCTATTTCGCCACACCCCTCACACGTTTCGTGGCCCCATAGGGAGTTCCCCCGAAGGCCCCAGTCGCTGCGTTCGCATGCGCCCGCCGCACCCATTTCGGCACACCACTCACACGCTTCGTGGGCCCGAGCGGAGCTCCACCGAAGGCACCAGTGGCTGCGTGCGCATGCGCCCGCCGCAACCTTGTCGGCACATCCTCAGTCGCTTCTTGGCCGAAGAGGGACTCACAACTGCATGTGGTTGGGTCCTTCGCCAGGCTATTTCGGTGGAGAGCGTGACGTTCCCACACCAAACATTGACTGACGCCCTGGGGTCTCAGGGCTTTTGTGGGCATGGCCTCCGCTGTATGCAGCCCCCCTTTCTGGTTATGTTTTCTGATGATGCTGCTGCTGATGATGATCATCATCATCATCATCATCATCATCATCATCATCATCATCAGCATCAGCATCAGCATCAGCATCATCATCATCATCATCATCATCATCATCATCATCATCATCATCATCATCATCATCATCATCATCATCATCATCATCATCAACATCAACATCAACATCACCACCTTCTGGTTCTGCTTGGTTCGCGTGGTGTTGTTTGGCCCGGTGGCGTCCCCGCCCCCGCAGGTTGGAATGTGTGCCCCGACGCGCGAGGCCGGCTCTGCACCCTGCCTGGGCGTGCGCTCGCGGCACCACCGAGGGACACACTGTGTAGCATGGGTTCTCCGCGTCTCGTTTCGTTTCGTTTCGTTTGCGTCCTGAAGGGGGCACGCCCCCCCCGCACCCACACGCGCGGCCCGCACCGGGATGCCAACGGCGCACGCGCCCTCGAGGCTCCTGGTCACGGCCCCTGCTGCCACTGCGCCTCGGCCCGCTGCCCTTCTCTCACGCAAGCGCCAATCCCAACACTACAGGCGGTCGACGTCCTAGCGCTGTCGCCTCTGCCACTGCACGCTCCTCTCACAAGAACTCATCCCAGCGATATAGCTGAGTAAGTCGGGTTCCAGCGGGCGGCGCCCTCTCCTGCTCCTCGCTCCTCGAAAAAGCAATCGCGCAGCACACGTAAACAGGAATTCGAAGAAGAAAACAGCTCCATAACCAGAAACTGTTTGACGCTCCGCGCTGGATATCTTGGATCCCTCCGGCGCGCGCCGCGCGCCAGGGAGGGGGGTCCAGCGCAGAGCCAAGAAATCCAGCGCGGAGCGCCAAACAGTTTATGTTTATGCTGTTTCTTCGTCTTATAACCATGCCGCAGGCAGCAGCACCCTGCAGATTTAGGCATCAGCAGCAACGGCGAAGTTCGGTCCCAAAGTCCTCATGAAAGCCGCTCGGCAGCATCTCTGCCCTGGCCCAACGCGCCATATCGGACAGATGTTGTGGCTGGCAGGCCACGGGTCAGCACTATCGCTGCCATCAGCGCGTCCGAGAAGGGCCAGAAGTGGCAGCCGGCTGTGGAGCTGCTCAGCGAGATGTGAGAGGCGAAGCTGGAGCCCGCTTTCGTCAGACACACCGCTGGGACCAGCTCGTGCGATAGAGTTGAGCAGTGTCTCAGGGCTCATGCGCTGCTCAGCGACATGTGAGAGGCGAAGATGGATCCCGACGTCGATTTAACCTAAGGCGGGGGCAGCGAGATGTGAGAGGCGAAGCAGGAGCCCGACGTCGTCAGCCACACCGCTGGGACCAGCTCGTGCGATAGAGTTGAGCAGTGTCTCGGGGCTCCTGCGCTGCTCAGCGACGTGTGAGAGGCGAAGCTGGACCCAGACGTCGCCAGTGTATTCTCTAAGGCGGGGGCGCACCGCGCGCAGGAAAGCTGGGCAAGCTGGGAACTCAAGTCCCTCAAACTCGGCCCAGGCGGCCCCTGCGCGCTCCCAGGCCCCCCAAGGGCACTCCAAGACGACCCCTAGGGCCCCAACAGGTTCCAGGAGAGGCGCTGGACCGCCCAAGAAGGCTCCACGACGCCCCCAGAGAGGTCCAATCAAGCCCGGGAGCACCCCAAGGCGCCTCCAGGAGCAAACGTGATTTCCGATGGTTTGTTTTATGCATTTTCGCATGCTCGCTTCTTCGGGCCTCTGTACGCACTGCGCTCCCAAGGTGGCCCCAAGACGGACCAACGGGGCTCCAAGACGCCCCAACAGGGCTCCAAGACGCCCCAAGAGGCCGCCAAGATGGACCTGAGACTGGCCTAATGCCCAAGGCGGCCCAGGAACGCAGCAAGATTGCCCCATGGCCCCCTCGAACGTTTCCGGACACCCCCAAAACAATTCCCAGTGTTATGTCGGGCGTGTCCCCCTACAGTGGGATTTTCGACGAAACATAAGAAAATGCCCCAAGAATGCCCCGAAAAGGTCAACAAACACAAACAAAAAATAGTCCCCTGACCATTTTGGGATTATTGTTTGATTATGTTTGGAGTATGTTTTTACTTTTCGTCGAAAATCCCCCTGTAGGGGGACACGCCCGACTTAACCCCAGTGGCCCCACCGGCCGCCCAGATGGCTCGAGGAAGCCTGGGAGGGCCCCCATGGGAGCCCCAGCAGACCCAACGGCGGACCCAAGCAGACCCAAGAGAGCGGCCCCCGGAGACGTCTTCAGAGGCATCCCCCCCACGAGGCCCCAAGGGACCCCCAGAGAGGTCCCTCCCCCCTGCAGTGTCTCGCCCCTCCTCGGCTCGCCCTTCGAAAAGGAGGCAGAGGAGGAGGAGGAGGAGGAGGTGGAGGAGGAGGAGGAGGAGGAGGAGGAGGGGGAGGAGGAGGGGGATGACGAGGACGAGGAGGAAGAGGAGGAGGAGAAGGAGAAGGAGGAGGAGGAGGAGGAGGAGGACCTCTGTCTCACTCTCTCTCTCCTGGGCCGTCGTTCCTCGCTCTTCGCTGATCGCTGCTCGCTCCCCTCCCCTCCCTCCACGACCTCTTCGACCCAGACTCCTTGATCCCCTCCTTTGGCGATTGCACAACATGGATCAAGGGGGCGTGGATTAGCGACGGGTCCCGTTTCCATGGGAGATCGCGGATTTCCGCCGCCTAGCGAGGCGGCACGGGCCGCATTTCGGGGAGGGCACCTCCCACATTCCATGGATTTAGCGACCGCGTACCAACTCCATAGATCGCTAGTCCATGTTTGCGCGCCCCCGACTCCTGGCAGCAGGTTGCACCAGCAAGCTGATGTGGCGAGAAGCAGCGCCCTGCAGCTTCAAGCAGCAGCAGCGAACGGCAGCAGCACGCAGCGCGAAGGAGACAGCCGCAGCGGCACCGCAGAGCAGCATCGAGCAGCAGCAGGCAGCGAGCAGCCGCACGCACCAAGCTGACCTGGCTATCAGCAGCACCCTGGAGCCACAAGCAGCAACGGCAAGCAGCGGCGGCAAGCATTACCAACAGCACGCAGCAGCGCCAGCAAGCAGCAGCACACTGTAACATGCGCGGAATGCGAGGGTCGAGCCCCGTTTCAGCATTTCAGTTTGTCGTTCGGCAGCTGAACCTCGAACACCTGTCAGTCCATGCAGACGTCGTGGACGTAGTCGACGGGTCAGCCTCAGTCAGATACAATGCGGGGGTCAGCGCGTGCGAGAAGGCCGAGCATCGGCATCAGGCCTAGCGACATGGATGTGGGAGGAGCAGCTGGAGACCAACGTCACCTATACTACAAGGCCAGGGGCACCGCGTGCCAGAATGAAGACGGATCAACCGTATGGAATCAGAGTGAAGGGGCCGAACGGTCATTCATTGTCCCTGGGTGCGTGGCTGAAGTGTGGATCCGTGGTGGGGATTTTGTTGTTGCTCTTGTTGTCGTCGTCCCCCCCGCGACCCGGCCTGCGACCCACCCGCGACCCACCTCGCGACCCACCCGCGACCCACCCCGCGACCCTTCCGCGACCCACCCGCGATCCATCCCGCGACCCGCTCGCGACCCACCCGCGACCCACCCGCGACCCACCCGCGACCCGGCCCGCGACCCGGCCCGCGACCCACCCGCGACCCACCGTCGACCCACCCGCGACCCACTTGCGACCCAACCCGCGACCCAACTACATCGTTTAAACAAAACATGGGCGCCTGCGGCGGGCTCGCTGAATAGCTTGATGTTTGTTTGCGCCTGCGGCGGGCTTCTTCAAAGCCTCGCAGACTGCGGGGTGCTATGTATCATGTATGATGTGGTCCTCTCTGGGCCATCTTGCGGAGCCTCTTTGGAGCCCTCTTGGGCCGTCATTGGGGCCAGCTGCGAGGACCGTTTCAGAAAGAATGTGCGGACGGTAGTCCACGGGTCAGCCCTAGTTAGCGACAGCGCTGGGATCAGCTCGTGCGAGAAGGACGAGCAGTGGCAGCGGACGTTGGCGCTTATCAGCGAGATGCACAAGGAGATGGTTGAGCCCCACGTCGTTAGCTACAGCCCTGTGTCCCTGCGATCGTCGCGTCGTTGCGCAGAGACAACAGTTCAGGATAGTCAGCTTCAATGCTGGAGACAGCTTGCACTTGAAAGATGGGCAGTGGCAGCTTATCCTGTCGCTGCTGAGCGAGATGTGGGAGTCCCAGCTTGAATCCCGACGCCTTCAGTACTGCAGCGCAGGGGTTAGCGCCTGTGAGAAGAACGAGCAGTGGCAGCGGTCTTCGGCGCTGCTCAGCGAGACCTAGGAGGCGAAATTGGAGCCCAGCGTTGGCAGCGTGTGCGAGAAGGCTGGGCAGAGGTCCGAAACGATGTCGATACTGCGGGAAGAGGGGAACATCGGTACGGACAACATCGGCCACACAGGGCGGCACCAGAGCGCGCGTGACGGGCTGGGCAGCGGTTGGAAGCGCTGCTGCTGGCAAAGGAGGTCGCATTGGGACTGGATTCAATGTTGAGCTGATGAGCCTGTTTTCCACCACCACCACCAGAAGTTGGAGGGGGACGGAGGTGGATGACGAGGATGAGGAGGACGAGGAGGAGAAGGAGGAGGTGGAGGAGGAGGAGGAGGAGGAGGAGGAGGAGGAGGACCCCCTCCCCCTCCAACTTATAGTGGTGGTGGCTGAAAACAGGCCCATCATAAGCGCCAGCAGCACCAGACCTGTAAACTCGGCCTTCGTCGGGTCGCCCGCGGGGCGACGTCGCGCTGGTGACGAAGGGCAGGCCGCGGGTCTGGTTTCTCCGGCTCGTTCCCGCGCGCGCCGGGCTGGGATGATGGGCTTCTTTTCCACCACCACCACCACCATAAGTTGGAGGGGGGAAGGAGGAGGAGGAGGAGAAGGAGGACGAAGAGGAGGAGGAAGAGGAGGAGGAGGAGGCGGAGGAGGAGGAGGAGGAGGACCCCCTCCCCCTCCAACTTATGGTGGTGGTAGTGATGGAAACAGGCCCATCATGAGAGGATTCCTGGCCGTGTGCTTGCCCTTCCTCCGCGGTCTGTCCATGCCCCCTCCGCCTCCCCCTCTCCTTCGCCGCAGGCGGAGGAGAGGGGGAAGCGGGGGGCGGAGGGGGGGAGAGAGAGAAGGCGACAGCAAGCGAGGTGAGTTCGCGCCATATCTGACATCTCACATCCTACCTCTCCCACCCATCCGTTCCCATCCCGACGGGTGTCATAGCGAATTTGGGACCCCCGAAGGACCTCCCTTTGTTGTTCGCAATCGCAGCACGGGAGTGCGTACATTGGAGGAGGAGGTGGCGGATAAACAGGAGAGCGGGGGGTTAGTGGGCTCTTGTTTGGGTCTCTCTTTTGGCCCGCTCGGGGCGTTCCTCGGAGCCTCGTAGGCCCTGTTGGCCGTCTGGTGGCGTCCCTCAGGAAATTCCCGAGGCAACCTGGAGCGGCCAGTTGTCGGAGTGACACCCTCCCTGGTGTGTGTGTGTGTGTGTGTGCGTGTGTCTCTTGATGCCGCGCCCCCCCTGCCTCAGCGGACAGAAGGAAAGGACCCGGGACTAGAGATGCAAGACACGGACAGGACAAGAACCAACATGACGACAAGAGACGCCGGCAAGCCAGCAGTCCAGAAATGGCTTCTCGGCCAAGCGACCCCTTATTAGAGGTCTCTGGTAGCCGTCTTGTGAGTCTGTTGACGGCCTTTTGGAAGGCGTTGGGCGCTGCTTGTGGCTCTCTTGGGGCCGTTTTGGGAAGCCTCTGTAGCTCCTTGGGGTCACCCTGCATGTCGTTCACAGAAATGGTTCTCCAAACTGTGGCCCCCCCCCCCCGGCCCGGCCGGGGCCCCCGGATTGAGGCCAATGCATGTGCTTGGTGCGGTTGTCGTCGGGCCGCCGCGTTTCCCCCTCCCCCCCTTCCTCTCCCCCTTCGCCGCAGGTTTTGTTTGTTTGTTTGTTGTTGTTGTTGTTGTTGTTGTTGTTGTTGTTGTTGTTGTTGTTGAACATTATTTCTTCTTAAGAATAATTATTGTTGGGACCCCTGGTGCACGACCCCCCCGCCGCGCCTAGGCCGCAGCCACATTTTCATCATTTTCGTGAGGAAGTCTCAGGCAAAACGGGGTATACCAGATCCGGTTGTTTTGTTGACGCCCGCTTTCCCTTGCAAAAAACACTATAAAATGAAATCTCTTGTTCTAACATAACCAAACTTCAAGAATCCTTTGCAAAAAAATGCACGAAGTGCACACTCGCGCGCGCAAGATGAAATCCTTCCAAAACCTTAGTTTTCGTAGCGATTTTAACATAAAAACATGAAAAACCCAATGGTTTTTCAAAACAAAAGTTTCAAAAAATCATCTTGCGCGCTCTTGCGGATTTCTGAGGAAACCCAATATTTTTTCAACATTTCTGTCAAACGGGCTCTTGCGAGCAACTTTTTCACGTGCTTCGAACTTCTGCAACAACGGTTGCGCGCATGCCAGGGCCATCATCCCTGTCAAATAATACCATATTGGACACATTCGTTTTTTCTTCGCGCGCGCACGCCGTCGTCGTCGGCCGCGGGGCCCTGAATAGTAGCCACGGTCGTCCGCATGCCACGAAGTGAAGTGTCCGAACGTCATAGGGCGGGAAGCTGGGTGTGGGTGGTGGCGAAGAGTCGTTTGGAAATTTGGTAGAGCTTGAACCGGCCCCCCCACAAAGTGGGGGTATTGCCCGCCTCCTATGAAAACCCTGGCACTGGTGAGAACGGAGTGTCCCCAGTCTTAAATGATTGTTGTTGTTGTTGTCGTTGCTTATATAAAAAAGCCCCCCCCCCCCCCCTGGAGCCCGAAAGGCGGTGCCCGGTGGCGCCCACGGGGCCATCTCGGAACGCCCCATTGGGCCCCGCTGGGCTCCTCGTTGGAGTCCGTGCAGGCCGCTCCTGGAGCTCCTTTTGCTCCCGACGGGCCGACCCAGCTGCACGCTTCCTGAGTTGCAGGTCGTGGCCGACGAGGCAGCGCACGGAGATCGAGAGGAGGAGGAGGAGGAGGAGGAGGAAAAAGAGGAGGAGGAGGAGGAGGTGGAGGAGGAGGAGGAGGAGAAGGAGGGGGAGGAGGAGGGAAGAAAGGGGGAGTGGAAGAGAAACCGCCTTAAACCACCTGCGCCCAAAGGGCTGGTGGGATTTTACGGGTTCCCATTATCAACGTACCAGACATTGCGTTTTGGCCGGATTCTGGAAAATACGAGTGCAGCAGTTACGCTGGTTCTTCGTGTTGAAGTCCTAGATATGGTGCTCTGGCACGATTCAGGATCGTCAAGACGCAACATCAGGTTGATCCGTGGCGGTTGAATCCCGAGAACAATGTTTTGGCATGCTTCAGGGTCTTCAAATGGGTGTCTTCCAGCGAGGCAGTTCCCTCAATGGAAATGAACCGCTGTAGGGGCCTCTGGAGGGAGGGTTTATTCCAACATCGTTGGTGACTCTTGAGTTTACACTGGTCCTCCTCCTCTGCCGCCTCCTCCTCCGCCTCCTCCGCCTCCTCCTCCTCCTCCTCCTCCTCCTCCTCCGCCTCCTCCTCCTCTTTGAGCGCTCACCCGAGCCTCGATTGTCACGGGTAGCCTTCTTTGGTGGCCTTGGTTGTCTTGGGGGGGGAGGGCAGGATTTTTCCGCCCTGGCCGGCGCTGGAGTCGAAACTGCAGATAGCATTCGCTGCGCGGCTGCAGAAACAGCTGAAGAAAAACGTGGCTCCGCACAGGCACAGTTGGCACATCACACAAGAAATCGGCCTGCCAGCGCGTGCCCATGGAAATGTAGTCGCCCCCGATGGCCCCAGATCACCCGACGGCCCCCCGGGGGCCCACAGAAGCTCTGGGCCACCTCAGGACGTGCAAAGATCGACGAAGAATGTGTCTCAAGTTTTCTCAGCAAAATTTGAAGGCAAACATTTCGGTGGCAATCATGGGGGCCTGGTGTACCCTCTTAATTCCGTCGTCTGCGTCGACTGGCGTCTGGAGTCGATGGGATCGCGCCGATTCCGCGTCGGCTAGCATCGAGTGGCGTGGCATTACAATGCCTCCCGAGCCCCCCGTTCGAGCGCCAGCGGAGGGCCCCGCCCGCACGGCCCGCCCGATAGGGCCCCGCCCCTGCGCAGCCGACCGCCAGCGCAACCAGCGGTTTGGCGGTCGTCCGGGCGCCCGCTTGGCATCGCTCGGATGTGTGCATTTTTCCTTCGGCGAGGGCCGTCGAGGAGCATCCTTGATCATTTGGCGAAAAAAAACCACGCACGAGACCGAAAAGAGCACAGGGAAGAGACGTCCGAGCGATGGCGAGCCTGCCCCGGGGCGGCGGGGCAGTGGATGCGTGCCCCGACGCCTGGCCACCGAGGGGCTGTCAGAACTGCGCCCCGCCGGGACGGGCCTGCCGATCGCGAAGGAGACAAGATATACGGTGAAGTCGGGCCTGTCCCTCTACAGGAGGAATGTTCAAAAGTAGTACAGGGGAGGCGACTATTTTGAATAGACCAGAATAGATCAAAATAGAACCAATCGGAGGAGGGATGTTCAAAAATAGTACAACATACAAACATAGTACAAACAACAATACAACAATGGTCCCTCTACAGGCTTGTCCCTCTACAGGAGGATGACTATTTTTGAGTTCTCTTGGACCATTTTTCAAATTTCGCCCCAAAGCCGCCTGTACGAGGACATGCCCGACCTACATGTACGTTTCCCAGAGATCCGAAGTTCTGATGTTTATCAAGACGGGCCCCGGAAGTCTCGACTCACTACGAGGACGGGTTTGCGCCTTGCGTCGTATGTTTGACAGTCTTGGGGCCCGGCGAGGTTCCCGATAGAAACCGCAAGCGGCGAACCATTTCCGTCTAGATGTTGGAATTTGCGTCGGATGTCTGGGCGGTTTTATTCGAACGTGGTTTTTGTGTAAAGCAACGATTGATGTCTTGGCTGTTTCGCCCGCGACATCAGGAAGAAGACCGTCGGGTTGGGAGGATGGGGCTGGGAGACATGATCACCTCGGCAATATTGCCGAGTGTGTCGAAGGTGCTTCTTCCACAGTCGGGCCCTGTATCTGCCAAGCCCTTTCCTCCCAAGACGAGAAGTCTTTCTCACACAAGTCGGGGGCGGCCAAAAGGGGGGTGAGGACCACGGGGGGGGGGGGAGATCATGGCGGGGGCCATGATATCTCCCCAGGTTCCATGGCCCCTCTTCTCATTTCAATGCGTTCCCTGGACCCCCCCCCAGGTCCGCGCACATGCCTCGGGCCATGATTTGCACCCCTCCACTTGGACACCCTCCTCTTGGATACCCCAGTCGGGCCCGTGCCTCTACAGGAGGAATATTCAAAAATAGTCCAAGCATAGTCGGGGGACTATTTTCAAATACTTTTTGACTATTTTGTATTGCTTCGAGTATTGTTTTGTCAAAAATCCCCCTGTAGGGGGACACGCCCGACTTCATCCTGGACGCCCCCGAACACGAAAGCCGGCCGCTGGTGGGGCCCGCGGCGCCGGCAGGGCGCCGCGCAGCGGGGGGGCGCGCCGCCGAGGTGCTCGCACACGGGCAAGCCCCCGAACCCGCTGCAGGACTTCGGGGTCGTCGCCGGGCTCTGGCTGCTCGTCGCCCTGTGCGGAGGGGCGGCGCGGGCGGGGAGCAGGATCAGGAGGGAACAAGACACACAGACACAATGAATCGTCGGTTCCCAAGAGAAAATATGGGGAAATTGTGGGAAGTGCGGGGGGGAAGCACAAACCCAGAACATGCGGGAAAATATAGGGGGTTCCTGTTATTTGTGCGTATTTATCCGTAAGGGCTTCGCCCCATGCCGCCGGCCCACTGTCTCGGATAATGGGAGATGCAAAAGCTAAATCATAAGGTCTGGGCGCCGCCGTGAAGCAGTGTCGGGACCTGTTTGTTTTCCGACCCTGACCCTACGGATCTGCGTGAGGGGTGCCACAGAATGTCAGAAATGTGGCAAATCCCCTGTGTTTTTGGACCCTGACCCCGCCGATCTGCGTGAGGGGTGCCGCCGAGTTTTAGAAATGTAACAAATCCCATGTGGACCCTGACCCTGTCGATCCGTGTGAGGGGTGTTACCGAATTTCAGAAATGTTGAGGATCCCCCTCGGTTTTCGGACCCTGACCCCCTCCGATCTGCGTGAGGGGTGCCACTGAATTTTTAGAAATGTAGCAAATCCCATGTGTTGTGGGACCCTGACCCCTCCGATCTGCGTGAGGGGTGTTATCGGATTTCAGAAATGTGGCAAATCCCTTGGGTTTTCGAACCCTGACCCCGCCGATCTGTGTGAGGGGAGCCATCGGATTTCAGACATGTGGCAAATCCCTTGTGTGTTTGGATCCTGACCCCGCCGATCTGCGTGAGGGGTGCCATCGAATTTCAAAAGTGTGGCAAATCCCGTGTGTTTTTGGACCCTGACCCCGCCGATCTGCGTGAGGGGTGCCATCGAAGTTCAGAAGTGTGGCAAGTCCCTTGTGTTTTTGCACCCTGACCCCGCCAATCTGCGTGAGGGATGCTACCGAATGTTAGCAATGTGGCGAATCCCTTGTGTTTTCGGACCCTGACCCTGCGTGAGGGGTGCCAGCAAATTTTAGAAATGTGGCAAATCCCAATTGTTTTTAAATCCTGACCCCGCCGATCTGCGTGAGGGGTGCCGCCGAATTTCAAAAATGTGGCAAATCCCATGTGTTTTTGGACCCTGACCCCGCCAATCTGCGTAAGGGGTGTCAATGTTTACCCACTCCAGCAATTCAGACAACACGCTCAGGGCGTGCTAAACCTGCCCGTTTGGACCTCCCCCCCTTCGCGCGGTCCATCAATAAAGAACAGTAAGCAGCAAGAAGCAGAACTGTAACAGTGGAAACTGGAAGCTGCAACGGGCACAGGGAACTGCGAACCTTCGGCCTACAGCCTTGTGGCCCCACAAGGGGGCCGGCGTATTCCTGTGTCCCAGGGCTCCTTCACAGGTGGAGGAAGAGGTGCCGATGCCGCTGCCCTTGCCTCGTTCTCGCCTCTGCGGGCCCTCTGGGAGGCCCTCGTCGCCAGCGCTGGATGCGCCTCGGGCTTCTGGTCAGGACGCACCCCGGGAGAGGTCTGGGGAGTAGCGGTATCGGTACGTGTTGGTTTCCCCAGGGGAGGGGGGGAGGGGGGAGGACGAGGGGGGGAGGCAAGCTAGAGGCGCTCGCGTCATGTCTGACGTCCTACCCCGCCCTCCCATCCCCTGCCACTGCGTAGAGCCCCCCCCTTTCTTCGCACAGTCGGCGGTCGGAGAGGACAACGAACCCAGAAGGAAACGCGATGCATCTGATGGCATAGCATCGCGTGGTAAAGTACATTACGTCATAGCATTCCAGCGCACGGCAAGGCATCGCATAGCGGTACATAACACAACCTTGCATGGCATGCCATTGCATGGCATGGCATTGCGTAGTCCAGCGTTGTATATCCAGTTGCCTGCGGCGGCTGAATATCGGTGCCAGCCCACCATTCTGGGTGGCGGCTGTGCGAGGGTGCACGGGAGGCCGTCACCTGTGACACCTCGTGTCTCCAGGCTTGGGAGGGCAGTGATAAGAATGATGAGGGTTATGATAATGATGGGGGTGATGATGATGATGCTGATGATGATGACGATGATGGTGATGATAATGATGGTGATGGTGATGGTGATGGTGATGGTGATGGTGATGGTGATGGTGATGATGATGATGATGATGATGATGGTGATGGTGATGGTGATGGTGATGGTGATGATGCTGATGCTGTTGGTGCTGATGATGATGATTATATTGATGGTGATGCTGATGATGATGCTGATGATGATGATTATGATGATGATGATCAGGATGATGCTGGTGATGATGATGATGATGATGGTGGTAATGGTGATGGCGATGATGACGATGCTGATATTGCTGCTGATGATGCTGCTGATGATGATGATGATGATGATGCTGCTGATGCTGATGCTGATGCTGATGCTGATGCTGATGATGATGATGATGATGATGATGATGATGATGATGATGATGATGATGGTGATTTGGAGTCGGCTGTGGTTCTGAGGTGGCCCGTCGCTGATTCCGGCCAGCAGGAAGGGCGGGCAGGTTCTTTTTTGGCTTTCTCGGCCTTCGGGGGCCAATTTCGGGTCCCAGGTTGCCGGAACGCGCTGTCGGTTCAAGCAACTCGCTGCGACGGTGCTTGACTGGGACCGTCAGAAACAGTTCTTGGGCGAAGAATTGCACCAGATGTGCCTGGGGAGTGCTCTGGGGGCGGATTTCGAGCGGATTCGGCTTCATCCCTGCATGCTGACCAAATTTCCAGAGCCCCAACCAGTTCAGACCCTCTGGCCGCCTCACAGTGATGATGATGATGAGGAGGAGGAGGAGGAGGATGAGGATGAGGATGTGGATCACGATTGCGCTGATGATGATAATGATGATGATGATGGTAATGGTGATGGTGAAGGTGATGGTGATGATGATGACGATGACGACGACGATGGTGATGGTGATGCTTATGATGATGGGGATGGTGCTGATAATGGTGATGATGATGATCATGCTGATGATGATGATGATGATGATAATGATGGTGATGGTGATGCTGCTTGTGGTAATGATTGTGATACTGATAATGACGATTCCGATGACGATGACGATGACGCTGTTGGTCATGGTGATAATGGTGATTATGATGATGACGATGACGATTACGATGATAATGCTGATCATGATGATGATGATGATGATGATGATGATGATGATGATGAACGGTCATTAGGATGCTGACGAGGATGTTGCGATTGCTGATTGTGTTGGTGATGATGAAGGTAACGATGACGATGGTGATGATTTTGATGGTGATGAAGATGATGACTATGATGCTGATGCTCATGCTCATGCTGATGCTGATGCTGCTGCTGATGGCGATGGTGCTGATGCTGATGATGATGATAGTGATACTCGTTTGGACTGTTCTGGGGCTGTCTTCGCCTCGTGTGGGGCAGTCTTGGGGTTCCCTTGGGGCCCTCTTGGGCCGTCTTGGAGCCCTGTTACGCCGGCTTCGGATTCTCTTGGGTCGTCTGTTGGCTCTCTTGCCCGTATGGTCGGTGTCTGGGGGGCCTCGTGGCGCCGTCTTAGGGGTCTAAGGGAACCACTTTGGCCGTCTTCGAGGCTTCCTTGGGGCCATCTTCGGCCGCCTTCGAGGCATCTTGGGCCATCCTGGTGTCCTTGGTTGCCTGCACGGGCCGTCTTGGAAAATCGGTGCGTTTGGGGGCAGCGCGTGGGACTACGGGACGCGCACGATCCTCGAGCGGGTGCGCGTGACATGAGGGGTCTAGGAGATAGCAGCCATACGGGAAGTACGCAATCCTACGAGCGGGCACGCGTGGAGTGAGGGTTCAGGCTTTAGGCGCCATGCGGGAAGTGCATCATCCTCGAGCGGGCAAGCGTGGAATGGGAGATTATTCATTTGCTGCCACGCTGACGTGCACTATCCTCGAGCGGGCACGGGGGAAGTGGCCTCGGAAAGGAGGGGCGATGCACGCAGGAGTCTGCTGGTGCAGCGAGGGGCGGATCCGCATTAGAATTCCAATCAACCCTACCAGCCAGATTTGGGCATTCTCCGACGCCTCAACGTGCCGTGGGGCACGGTGGCGGATCACCACATTGCAGAGCAAGGCTGAGGAGGGGACGAGGAGGGGAATGGGGGATCGGGGAGGAGGGGAATGGTGGGGAGTAGCCCGAAGAAGCAGCAGCATACTATGCATAAACTTTCGAAGGTCCGCGCGGAATGGAGTTATTGGTTTCTGCTGGGCAGCGGGAGGAAGACGAGGAGAGGGAGGAGGAGGGAGGGGACCATAGTAAACCAAGGAGCCCTGCATCCTTCACACGAGTTACGAGGCGTGCGACGGGGTAGCATGACTGGGTAGTCGAAGGCCAGACTGTCAGATTGGATTGGGCCCCAAGGGCCAATCTGGCCTGGCCAAGCTGGAGGATTGGGGTTATTCGCCAGACTGGATTCGCGTTGGCTCCCTTGTCAGATTGCCCCTGTTTGCCAGATTGGGCCTGCCAGATTGGCGCCAGATTGGCTTCAACTACCCAGCATGACTTACAGTCAGGGAGGTGTATCGCCCCCGTCCGTGCAAGTGTCTGTGGCGACGCCGCACGCTCCCTGTCACTCCGTTCGGCGGAGGTCTCGAGCTGGAGTCCCAGTTTGAGGAAGGAACCGCCCCTCACTCGGGGCAGCGGGTGCACTTTCACATCTTCTGGTCGCTACACGGGAAAACACACACACACAAACACACACAGTGGGAACAAAAAACACACAATACACACACAACACACACACAACACACACAGACACACACAACACAGACACACAGACACACAGACACACACACAGACACACAGACACACAGACACACAGACACACAGACACACAGACACATTGACACATCCGTAGCCATGTTGGCTCAAGCCGTGCCTGGGCGCGCTCGGGCAAGATGGCGCGGGAGAGTCTGCGCGGGGTGGCTGGTGCCCGCTTCGCTGCAGACCGCCTTGTGCAGCGGCTGACGCGCGAGCTGGCTGAGGCCCGGGGCGAGGCCGCAAGGCTC